GGGCTCGCGCAATGCAAATTCGTTGCTTTTGTCCACCACTCAGAGAGGCCTGAGCGTTGACGCCAAGTTCAGTCAAGAAGCCATCGGGTAGGGATACTATAAAGTCGTAAATTTCGGCGTCCTTGCATGCTTGAATCATTTGGTCTTCCGTGGTCGGGTTATTGGGGGCTTCTAGACCGAGAAGGAGATTCTCGCGGATGGTGCCTTCAAAGAGTTTCGGCTCCTGGGCGACGAGTGACAAAGCACTTCTGTAAGAAGCAAGTTCAATGGAACGAATGTCTCGGCCACCAAATAGAATCGTTCCCTGAGTGCAGTCATAAAAGCGCTCGAGTAGCGAGACAAGCGTGGATTTTCCACACCCTGAAGGTCCGACAAATGCTACGAATTGCCCGCTCGCAATGGAGAGATTCAGATTAACAAATGTTGGTACCTCTCGAGTAGAATATTGAAAGGAGACATTTTGAACTTCAACAGAGGGACTGGGGGTATGCTCTGAAGAAAAGAGTGGTCCCGTCGGAACATGTTGAAGCTGTCCCTGGGTAGGTTGCCGTGCAGCCAATATGCGATTGGCAGAAGCCTTAGCCTGGGCAATATTCGGACCAAAACTGAAAAACTGACCGGCCGATTGGCCGCCTTGGATGATGGCAATATAGACGACGAAGAATGCAACTGGGTCATATTCACGGGAGGCGAGGAGCTGGCCGCCGTACCAGAAGGCGAGCGCCATGGCACATAGCTCAACGCTGTCGGAAAACGCAAATACCAACGTTGCGTACCACGCCTTGCGGATGGCCTTCTGACGCTGATCTTTCAGTAGACTTGAATATCTTTCCAAAATTGTATCTTCCATCGTCAGAGCAGTGACCGTTCTGAACGCCCGAACTGCCTCCGTTGCGAACTTGGAACTATCGGCATAGACTGCTGCATTTAGGGCCTCAAATTTGATCTCATATCGAATGCGCATGAAGGCAGAGAAAAATAAGAATGGCATGGCGGCAAAAAATGTGACCGCCGCCAGCTTCCATCCAAAGGCGAAGGAGATTGAAACACATCCAATGATGTTGAAGACTGAGATAAGAGGGAAAACACCGGTGGGACCAAACATCTCCTGTAATTGTTTGGAATCAGTGGATAGTCTGGAAATCAAACTACCCGAAGAATTCTCCTCGCGGTCATAGTATGACACTGGCTTGGACAAGATGTTATAGAAATAATCCATCCGAGCATTGGACACGACAAACTGAACAGTTAGCCTTGCTTGAAATTCGTGAAGTATGTAGACTCACCATCGATATCGAATTGGACGAAAACCCCAGCATGAAATAGAAAGTCGCCATGGCAAGGGCGAGGATGAAAAACATCAATGCCCAGAAGTTCGCGGCGTCCACGAGCTTCTGGCCAGTGAACTGGAAAACCTGTACAAGTCTAGCAAATAGCCAACTTTGCAAGGAAAATCCGGCTATTGTATCATGTAAGCTTATTATATTAGGAAATGTGCGGGCGAGCATGGTGAATACTTACAACCTGCTCCGACAGCCCCGGTCAGTGTCAGTGCATATAAGAGCCAATGGCTACGATTTTCATAAATGAGCACCCCAAAGCTGTGGAAAAAGCCAAAGTTTCTTTCAGGCTCGGGACCATCCAGGCAATTCTGATCGTTGCCTTCTTTGGTGGTATATTCCTGAGCAGTGACTTCTTCTTTTTGCGAAATCATCGAACTTGGCACCTCGGTATCCATCAAATCTGTAAGTGACACCAGCTGTTGCGCATGAACCAAGCTATGGTATATCCCTTCTTTTAGTATCAACTCTTCGTGAGAACCTTCTTCAAAGTTTTGGCCGTCTTTCATGACGATGATCTTGTCCGCACGACGGACAGTGGACAAGCGATGTGCGATCATGATTGTAGTTCGGCCCTTGGACACACGATCGAGCGCAGCTTGTACTATCTTTTCTCCTTGGATATCGATCGAGCTGGTCGCTTCATCAAGAATGAGAATTTGGGGTTGGCTGACGATGCTTCGTGCGATGGCAATTCTTTGGCGCTGTCCGCCACTCAGTGTGATTCCACCTTCCCCAACTGAGGTCGAGTAACCCTAAAAATCAAATGATCAGATGAAATGGAAACGAAAGGAGTGCAGCGAAAGGGGTGTAACGAACCATGGGAAGGCGGTCGATAAATTCATCTGCAAAGGCTTGTTTGCAGGCTTCGGTGATGAGGTCCATTTTCACAGCAGCTATATCATTCTCCCACTGCGATCCGATCAGACCAAAAGCAACGTTGTTGTATATTGTATCATTGAACAAAAACGGTTCTTGCTGAACAAGTCCAATCTGGGCTCGCCACCACTTCACATCCAAGTCATTGATGTGGTGAACTCCCACATTGATGTGACCCGATGTGGTCTCTTCTTCTTCCTCGGACTGAATTTGATACCATCGCTCAATCATTGCGACAATGGTGCTTTTCCCCGAACCGGAGGGTCCGACCAGAGCCGTGGTTTTATTCCGTTCAAATTTCGCATGGAATCCCTTAAGTACGGTCATTTCTGGTCGTGTGGGATAGGCAAATGTCACATTCTCAAACACGATATCCGCATGGGATAGCTCCGGGTCTCGAGTTCCTGGTGGGTCATCTTGCTTGGAGTCGATAACACCAAAGAAGGCACCTGATGCACTAATCGCCTTCGAGATAGCCATCAATGGCCCCGCAATACCTCCCAAAATAGTGACCACGAGGAGAACGGAAAAGAATACCCTAGTTGATTGTCAGAACACGGCGCCACAAGTATTCAAAAGATGGGATAATCGTACGTGATCACGGTATTGATGTTAGCGATGTGACCTTCGCGGTACAGTTTCAGCCCAAACCAGAAGGCCAGGGAGAAGCTGACATACATAGCGAAGAAGAGCATTGCAAGGTGAATTCCACTGACTAGGGACATGCGCAGACCACGCTTTCGTGCTTCCTCGACCCACCGTGTGTACTTTTTGAAGAGCGGTTGTTCAGCGTTCAGAGCGAACACCGTCCGAATAGATCCAAATACTTCTGCGGCAAGAGCTGCATGCTTCTCGTCTGCTTGGTCGACATTCTGCTGCGCTTTGACCAAAAACGGCATTGTCAGGCTAAAGCCTAGGATCACGAATGCAATGGCGGAACTGACAACAAGCGTCAGTGCCCATGAATAACGGAATGCGATGGCGTAAGCTGCGATGAGCAAGGCAAGTGACTGGAACAGAATGGCGAGCCGATCAGAAACACTTTGCTGGATCGTATTTGACAGTGCGGTGATCGCATGTGTCACAGTTCCGACCGACATCTCGTCCAGCTTACTCATAGGAAGTGAAAAGAGAGCCTGGGTGTACTCTAGGCGCAAGGCCCCTGAGGCCCGGAGGCTGGTCAATCGAAAGCAAATCTGTCACATTGTGAGTAATAACAGAGATTTGGGGATAGAAGATCAGCCATACCATGGATATATATGTCAGACAGAACTTTCCGATAAACAAATACACAATATACAAGCTAGAAAAAGACGGTCAGTTAGCTATCATGAGAAATAGAGTGTAAAATATTTACCTGCTTTGGTTGACGGAGGACTTGAATGATTGCTCTGTGATACCCGATCCGGGAATAAAGTACTCATTGAACTTGCCGACCAGCTGGCCAAAGACAATATTCATCAACGGAAGGGCCTGGAATTTTATTAGTTGATCATGGAGTATATCTCGAGATTCACTCTCAACTTACAATTCCCGAAGCCATGGCACAAACCAGCCCCAAAATCATAATATAAATCCCCCCATGAGAGGCACCATACGATAGAATTCTCTGGAGACGTGAGCGATAGTAGACAAAGCCAGGTCCATCAATGAATCTGAACTTACCGCATAGCTACTGAGACTCGCTGGTTGGACTCTCTCGTCGTTTGATTTCACCGACCGGCCGACCATATCTGGACTGGCGATGGAGTTATTCTCTGGCGATGTTGGTATGTCTTGCGTTTCAACGCGCGGGGAAGCTGACGGAGGCATTTTTCACGTTAACACAGCGCCTTAATGGAAGAAAATCGGTTCTTTGTCAAAGGACTTATGCACCATTGTCGGAGCAGTGGTTTCATGTGTAACTGGAAATATCGAATATACGTGTGAGAATCCCCTGAGAATGGACCCTGAGCGCTCTCAGCAAGGCACCAACTGTCCAAGGTTTTCAGGCCCTCTAGCAAAAGATTAGGCACGGATAGTCTCAAGATCATCACAATATTTTGATTCCTCACATTGGCCAAAATGGTGGAATGAAAGGAAATGAGTGGAGTGAGCAGTGATGTCAAGGACATTTAAGGTGTGGGTTGAAGGTGTTGGTGGGTTCGGCTTCCCCGATGTAACCCTAATGTGATTTCAACTCCTATTACCAATTTCGGAAATATATTTTCAAAATAATATGATATGAACTCAATCGATGATGAATACACATGGAAATTGCTTGGTAGAATGCAAATAAAGAAGTGGAAATCGCCGGAAAAGAGGAAACCGCTGTTCTAAGATGCCAATATTAGATGTAGAGTTTACTTCGTACGTCAAGGAAGCTATCATGTTGCATTGTTAATGGGTGTATACCATGGTTATTGTGAAATTCCTTGAATCAGTGCACCTAATGTTTACTTAGGTTTTCCTATGGACCCATAGTGTGATTGTTCGAAGGTGTAGAGCTAGGTACTATGGATGTCGCCGAAATCTTCGTATAAGTTTCATTTCAACTCGCCTCTTGGTTGTCAATTGCAAACTATCAATCTATGATCATACCATAATATAATGTCGGCGTGATTGCTCGTACCTTGATACATTGAACAAAACAGAAAACAACACGAAAGAGCTACGATTGAGTGGCACAGGTATATCATATAGACCCCCAGAAACAAAGATATATTTTCCTAACCAAATGGACATCAGAGAAATTTGTGCAAAGAGATTTGTGATCATCCTACCAAGCCACCCAAATACAGGATGATGGCACCAACAAACCTCCCTACCACAGGGGCCATCACCCCACCGGGAGACTCATTGGAGAAAGCATTGATCTCGTTCAACAAAGAACTCCCCACTCCATCTCCCACGACTGAGAAGGAAAATGGAATAGATGGAGTTTGGCAACAAGTGGCGGATCAATGCCATTGCTCCCTGGACGACATTGAAGATGTATATGCCTGCACCGCTCTCCAGGAAGCAATGATAGCCCTCACTTTCAAAGACCCGAGAGCATACACCATTGAACACGAATACCGTCTGCCACGAGAGGTCGACCACCATAAGCTGCAGGAGGCCTGGAATACGACCGCCCAGGCCAATCCGATATTGAGGACTCGTATGATTCCAACCAGTCAGCTCGGGTGTGTGCAGGCAGTGGTGCAAGGGTTGATTCCATGGCAGGTGCAGGAGACCGACGACGGCATAAATGGAGAGATCGCCAGCCCTTCCTGGAGAGCAGGGGCTCCGTTGGCGTATTTCGTCTTCAATGTCACCGAACATAAACTGAAGATCATAATACATCATTCCATCTGCGATCACTGGTCTGTGGCATTGTTGTTGCGCCAGGCAGATGCCGCCTACAAAGGCGAAGAACTGTCTTTCCACCCCTTTCGGCCTCTAGTGGATCATGTACAGCGCACACAAGACAAAGCCAATGAGTTCTGGGGATCCATGTTCCGTGATGCACACGAGGCCACGATGATCGCATTCCCTCAACTACCCACAGTGGGCCATTCTGCCAGACCAACCGAGCGGCTGGAGAGGTCCTTCAACATCCAAGATGGGAAAAGTTCCTCAAGTACTGTGGGAACCAAGATTCGGTTGGCCTGGGCAATCCTACAATCAGTATATACTGGCTCTGACGACACATTATTTGGAGCAGTAAATGCGGGTCGTGCTGTCTCTGTTGCGGGAGTGCAGGACTTGAGCGGGCCTGCAATCGCTAGCGTACCGGTTCGCATCAAGCTATGCGCACAGAATACCGTTGCAGATGCCTTGACTGCCGTACAGGATGAATGGGCAGCATCTATGGAGTTCGAACATGTCGGATTGCAAAATCTGCTTCGTCTTGGGGCAGGTCCAGCAGCAGCGTGTCATTTCCAAACCCTACTCTCGGTCGAGCCTCGAGATGGCCATCAGCTTCCCGATATATTCTCCCAGAGCCGGTCAACCCAAGCGACGTATGATATGTATCCTTTGATCTTACGATGTCGTCCCTCGACCGCGACAATGTGGATTGAGGCTTCCTTTGATCCGGCAGTAACTGAGCCCTATCAAATGGAGCGAATACTCTCCCAGTTCATTTATATCTACGAGCAGATCGACACTAAGCCGGGCCTCGCACTTTCCGATGTCTGTGTCGTTAGTCCCGAAGATTTGAGCGATCTTTGCCGCCAGAACATTTTGACAAAGAGCCCTGATCCTATGCCGTGTGTTCACTCTCTGATTGAGAGCCGCACGCGGCAGCAGCCTCTTTCCCAGGCCATCAGTAGCTGGGATGGCAACTATTCATATCTAGCCCTCGATGAGTTGGCTTCAGCATTGGCGAATCATCTTTCATGGCATGGTGTTGGCCCTGGGTCATTTGTACCTCTTCTCTTAGGAAAAACTAAGTGGATGGCTGTCTCCATGCTTGCTGTGATGAAATCCGGTGCTGCCTTTGTGTTGCTAGAGCCATCACATCCACAGTCCCGACTACGGAATATGTGTGAAGCCGTGGCAGCTCCCCTGGTATTGACTTCCGACTCGCATATTGATGTGGCAGCCCGGCTTGGAGTCCAAGCGTTGTTCAACGTGGATACTTTTGATTCGAAGCAGCTGCACCGCAGTCACCCATCTCGGAAGCCCTCGGTCGGCCCACAAGATTCCGTTTATTTAACATTTACCTCTGGATCCACGGGAACCCCCAAAGGTGTAATTGTTCACCACGAAGGCTTTGCTTCAAGTTCTGTAGCTCATGGCAACCCATACCACTTCACACCAAAGTCGCGTGTGCTACAATTTGCCTCCCCGGCATTTGATTCTTGCATCATCGAACATCTCAGTACGCTGATCCAGGGGGGTTGTGTTTGCATTCCGTCAACGGACGACTGTCAGAGCCATCTTGTGGAATCCATGAACCGCTTTGAGGTGGACGTTGCATGCCTTACGCCCAGTGTCACCCGGATCATTTGCCCCGACAGTGTTCAGTCCTTGAAGGTGTTGATGTTTGTCGGAGAAGCAGTTCTGACTAGCGACGTCCTTCGCTGGGAGCCTTACGTACACGTTGGAAATGCGTACGGTCCAGCGGAGTGCTCTGCAGTGTTCAGTGTACAACCAAATCTAAAGAGCAACGATCCAGCGAACATAGGATTTAGCACTGGGGGATCTGGATGGGTTGTTCATCCTGATGATCACCGGGTGCTCATGCCACTGGGATGTACTGGAGAATTATTAATAGAAGGACCAATTGTTGGAAAGGGTTATCTATCGAATCCCGAGCAGACGAGTCGGGTCTTCGTTGAAGCACCACCCTGGCGCCTGCAATTCGGCTCCGTTCCATCCAGAACATTATACAAAAGCGGAGATTTGGTGCAAGCCACCGGGGATGGTAGTTTCCGATACTTCGGACGCAAGGATACTCAGGTCAAGCTACACGGACAGCGTTTAGAACTGGCGGACATTGAGTACCATCTTCACAACGCGTTTCCGAAATCCCGCCAAACTCTTGCAGAGGTTCTCCGATCATCCGGTCCTAACAATATCAATGATCGTCGACCAGAGGCTTTGCTGGTGGCGTTTATATGTCTCCCTGCATCTCCTCCGGATGACGACGGCAGTCATCAAACCGAGTTTCTTCCTCCAAACGACGAGTTTCGTGAGGCTTGTGCTGCAGCAGAGGCCAGCATGTCGGATGTCTTACCATCCTTTATGGTTCCACGCTTTTTCCTACCCCTGTCCCATATACCTCTGACGCCATCTGGGAAGACCAATCGACGTTACATCCAGGAGCAGGCAAATAAGCTGTCGTTGGAACAGATGCAAGCTTATCGAGCTGTGAAGATGCAACCGGAGGCGCCATCAAGTTCTCGCGAGGAAAAACTTCAACAAATCTGGGCCCAGACACTAAATCGAACTGTTGAAGAAATCGGCACTACGGAAAGCTTCTTCCGTCTGGGAGGTGATTCAGTCAGCGCGATGCAAGTCGCTGCAGCCTGTCGCACCGTCGGACTCAAAGTAGCTGTTGCTGATATATTCCGGTTTCCAAGCATCAGACAACTGGCAGAAAGGATCCAAGATTCCGGATCCGTGTCTTTCGCTTCGACTGGGGAGGACGATCAAACGGACGTGTGGTTTGAACTTTCCCCCATACAAAAGCTCTTCTTTGAGCGAGTGCCCAATGGTCACAACAAGTTCACTCTCGAGTTCATTCTCCGGCTCAGCAAACCCCTTCCACCTCCTGAGATTAAACGAGCGATTGAGAAGATTGTCACCGCTCATTCAATGCTCCGCGCCCGATTTGAACAACGGGCAGATGGTCAATGGGGACAGATTATTGGCCGTGACGTGTCCAGAAGCCTTCGGTTTAGAGAACATCGGGTGCCCTCTATGGACGACCGTAAAGCCTTGCAGAACATTTTGTCCATCAGCCAGAGCACGCTTGATATCGTCCAGGGAGTGATGATTGTCGTTGATGTTATCACCACAGACACAGGGGAGCAGTTCATGGGGTTGATGGCCCATCACCTTGTCATTGACCTAGTCTCATGGCGTGTCCTTCTGCAAGACCTGGAAGATATCCTCAACACTGGCCGTACAATCCAACCTCTCTCCAGATCATTCCAACAATGGTGTCGGCTGCAACAGAGTTACGCCAGAGAGTCTCTTGATCCCAGTGAAACGCTGAAGACAGAGATCCCACATCCCTCAATGGACTACTGGGGCCCAGAGGCTATTCTGAGTGAAAATACCTGGGCGGATGCAACGCGACAAACCATCACAGTGTCCAAGGAAACAACGGAGGCAATAATTGGTGCTGCAAATGGCGCATTCCACACCCAGCCAGTCGAAATTATCCAGGCAGCTGTACTTTACGCTTTTGTCCAGGCATTTGACAATCGGCCTGCACCCACGATGTTCAGCGAAGGGCATGGGAGAGAGCCTTGGGACGCAGACATCGATATATCCCGCACAGTTGGATGGTTCACCACTATTGCACCTTTGTTCTTAGATGTTAAGAAGGAGGACAATGTCAGGAGGATCTTGCAGATGACGAAAGACGGTCGTCGCAGCATATCCACGAACGGATGGGCATATTTTGCGTCGCGATTCCTCCACCCCGAAGGACCGGAAGAGTTCCGGAGTCATTCCCCAATGGAGATTCTGTTCAATTACACCGGTCTTTTCCAACAATTTGAACGACCAGGTGCCCTGCTTCAGATGACATCAGTTCAAGATGATTCCCTTCTCCCCATGGCAGCTGATTTACCGCGCATGGCTCTCATCGATGTGAACGCAACCGTCATGAACGGATCTCTCGCCTTGTCCTTCATCTATAACCAAAAGTTACAGCATCAGGACCGACTAGAGCAGTGGATTAGCAATTGCCTACAAACACTTGAGGAACTCCCCATGGAGCTGCAGCAGGAACAGCGACTCGCCGCTGTCGACTTTCCGTTGCTATCACTTGCAAACGAAGAGCAGCTTCACAGCCTACTCCATCAGGTGTCAGGCCGATTTGATGTGTCTCCGTCTGGAATCGAGGATATGTTCCCGTGCTCACCCATTCAACTCGGCATGTGGTTGAGTCAATTAAGAAACCCTCAAGTATACTGGTCGCATATCCGGTGGTCTCTGTCTCCAACCTCCGCTAACAGCCCAATCAACATAACTGAGGTCAAGCAAGCATGGCAGCAGGTTGTTGACCGTCAACCGATCCTGCGCACTGTCTTCGCCGATGGCGTCGCAGGGCATGGTCATCCTGTCCAAGTGGTTCTGAGAGCTTGCGAAGGAAACGTCAAGGTGTTGTCGGAATCGGAACTGCGTGCGGAGGGCCAAGTTCCATCCGTTTCGGATGAGTTCTTGTTGAATGCGAAATCGTCAAACACGAAGGGTCTCCCACCCCATCAGCTTACTGTCGCAATTGAGCCTCATGGCGGAGCTTACTGCCAGCTCGCCATCCACCACATTCTTGTTGATGGTATCACGGAGCAGAGATTGTTGTCAGAATTCTACCAAGCATGCAATGGGACACTCGACGCCGAGCCTGCGGGCAGCTATAGCAAGTACCTGGGTTATCTGCAAACTCGGGATCACAGGGCCTCGGAATCCTATTGGAAGGAATATCTGACTGATGTTTACCCATGTGTTTTCCCATCTCTCGGCTTGAAACAGCATGGGGCCGCCTCAAGTTCTCTGAAATCGTTGCCATTCTCCATAGGTATTGGCCAAGACCTCCGGTCATTCTGCCAGTATCACAGCATCACCATTTCCAGTCTGCTACAAGTCGCTTGGGGTATCGTTCTCCGTGTATACACAGGGAGCGAGTCTGTATGCTTTGGGTATTTGAATGCTTGCCGCGATATCCCAGTAAAAGATGCGCACGATATTTCTGGACCTTTAATCAATCTTTTGATTTGTCGCCTATCTTTAACTGATGAATCATCGGTTCTGTCAACACTTGCCGGAAATCATGCGGCCTACGCCCGAAGCCTTGATCACCAACATTGCTCTTTGGCAGAGGTCATGCATTCTTTGAATCGCTCCGGTCAACCTCTGTTCAACACCGCAATGTCATTACAGAAGGACGCCGGCAGTCTGATTTCTAGTCTGATTTCTGAACACGCTCAAAGGATTAAGTTGCAACCAGAAGATGGTATTGACTCAACTGAGGTATGTGTGGATAGTGTCTGAGACATTCTTATCATTTGCAATATTTTATCTGTCAACATTCATTTAGAATAAAGAAGCACCGACTTACCAAATCACAGTATGACTTGACCATCAATATCACTGCACGCGAGAAGACCATCGATTGTGATTTGACATATTGGACGCACGCCGTGGCCGATGCTCAAGCTGAATTGGTTGCCGACACCTTCCATCATGTCGTTCTGCAGCTTATTGATCCCGCAATCCGCAATTTGAGCGAAATCAATCTGTCAATGGGGAAGAATGAGAGTCAGATGCTTCGTTTCAATTACGACCTACCGCAAACTGTGCGATCTTGTATTCACACCGACATACAACGAATGACGGCGGTGCAACCAGCATCCCCCGCAGTCGATGCCTGGGATGGTCAGTTTACATACGAGACCCTCGACCTTCTATCATCGTTATTGGCTAAGGATTTGGCCGTGCGTGGTGTCGGTCCCGAGGTATTTGTGCCAGTATGCCGTGAAAGATCTCGATGGACAGTCGTCGCCATAATCGCCATCATGAAGGCAGGGGGAGCATTCATATTGCTTGACCCGTCGCATCCAGCAGAGAGGCTTCAGGATATGGTGCAAGTGGACTTCCAGTGTCCAGTTATCATCACCTCATCGAAGTACCTCGAACTTGCAGCCACTCTAGCGCCGAACCCAATCATCGTAGAGGACATCAGCCAAAAGTCGCATGACGACATTCGAAAAGATAGTATCCCATCGGTGACTAGTCCAAAGTCATCTGCATATGCTGTTTTTACATCTGGGTCGACCGGTAGGCCAAAGGCAAGCGTCATCGAGCACCAGTCTTTCCTGTCAGCATCAGCAGCACATACCCAGGTACTTGGTCTTGATAAAAACGCCCGGGTCATTCAATTTGCCTCTTATGCTTTCGACGCTAGCATGGTGGAAATGATCGACACACTTTTGGTCGGTGGGTGTATCTGCATTCCCTCCGATGCAGACCGAAATCAGAGACTGAGTCATGCAATCAGCGAGATGCATGTGAACTGGGCGCTATTAACTCCTTCTGTGGCTCGCATCCTAAACCCGCAGCAGGTTTCTACCCTGGAAACACTCGTTCTCGGTGGAGAGGGCATGACTAGGGACGATGTCCGTCGCTGGTCACCGCATGTACGCTTGATGAATGCCTATGGTCCTTCAGAATGCTCCGTCGTTGCTACGGCCCAGCCATCTCCGCAATACCTCTCACAAGATGAATCAAATATTGGACATCCTACTGGTTGTGTCGCATGGGTTGCGCGTCCAAACAAACCAGAGAAGATCGTTCCAGTGGGTGCTATCGGAGAACTGCTCATCGAGGGTCCTATTGTCGGTCGCGGTTATGTCAATCGCCCGGAGGCCATGGCAGCGGCATTCTTCCCATATCCCATTTGGTTGTCGAAGATCCGAGGTTCCCGAAACGGCGTCTTGTACCGAACAGGTGACCTTGTGAGGCGTCTTGTGGATGGCTCTATACAGTACATCGGACGGAAAGACCGTCAAGTGAAGTTACGTGGACAGCGTATCGAACTCGCTGAAGTTGAGCACCATGTTCAGGAGTGCTTCCCTATCAACGACCCTGAAGTCTTTGCGGACTTGGTCGCACCAGAGGATGGCAAACATGCGCACTTAGTAGCGTCCATTATTCAACCAGAAGACAGTGGTGGCGTTCAAGCCTTCGAGGCCGCCGTGGAGCAAATGAAATCACGTCTTCAGGCAGATGTTCCAGCTTCACTGATTCCCTCTGCATTCATTCCTGTCTATCAGGTACCACGATTGGTGAATGGAAAGATTGACCGAAAACAGCTGCGGCAGGCAGCATCTCAAGGCCTACGAGCGCAGATTGGTCGAGGGGCGACCAACCACCAGCTGCAACAGTTGAGAGAAATGACAAAAGGAGAACTTGCATTGCAAAGTTGCTGGGCTGAAGTTTTGGCTCGCCCTGCGGAGACAGTCGGACCTGACGACAACTTCTTCCGCTTGGGCGGAGACTCGATTGCAGCAATGAGGCTGGCTGCCACAGCTAGCGAGAAAGGCATTCAACTAGGCGTCTCGGATATCTTCTTGCACCCGAAACTTAGTGACCTCGCACTCAATTGCTCGTTCTCAGTGCCGAAGGAACGGCCAAACTGCGAACCAAAGGTATTGGAAGGCCTCGTCCCTCCGTTTTCAATGCTCCCAGCAAATCACCGGGAAGAATTGAAATCACAAGCAATGGAGCAATGCAACCTCCCGATAGAGCAAATCGGGGACATATACCCCTGTACCGCATTGCAGGGCGGTATGGTAGCTTTGACAGCGGAGCGTCCCGGGTCATATATCGCATACCATCGTTTCCGGCTGGGACCAGATATTGATCTGTCTTTACTGAAAACTGCTTGGGAGATGGTGGCAAAGCACAACGACATTCTACACACCCGATTCATTCAGTCGGAGTTTGGCTTCATGCAGGTCCTGGTACAGAACAGCGAGCTTCACTGGATCTCGGGAGACACGAAGGAAGATGAAAAATTACATTGGGACGTCCTCCTAGGCCAACCACTGGTCCAATTCGAAGTCATCCCTGTGTTGAGCGAGGATTCCAACATAGCTCAGCGACTTGACCTGGTTATCACCATTCATCATGCTCTGTATGACTCCTGGTCACTACCTTTGCTTGTGCACCGTGCACAAGAGGCCTATCAGGGCCAGATATTGGAGCCCTCCGACATGACTCCATTCAAGGAATTCATCAAATATTCCATGTCCCAACAAAAGGATGCGCTCGAGCACTGGCGCCGTGAATTCCATGAACTTACCGCCGTGCCATTCCCCACACTTCCTTCCATGTCATATCGGCCTCAGGCTTCGAAACAAACGGTACGAACAATTGAGACCGGCCCAGTGATGGATCAATGTGTTAGTCGAACGACCGCCATTCGCTTCGCGTGGGCTCTTGTCCAGTCTCACTACCAGAGTAACGATGATGTGGTATTCGGAATTGTGTCCCCTGGGCGAGCAGCATCCGTCGATGGAATTGAGGGCATGGCTGGTCCAACAATAGCCACACTGCCTTTGCGCGTGCAAATCGATGACAATGCGACCGTCTCACACGCCCTCAGAGATCTGCAAGAGCGGACAGTACAGCTCATTCCTTTCGAACAAGTTGGACTGCCCGAAATTGCTGCCATAGGACCCGAGGCCAAGCAAGCCTGTTCGTTCCAGACCCTACTTGTGGAGGGGAGAGGAGAGGTTGAAAGCCTAGGCACCACCGATGGTCCTATGGAACCCATGGGAACATCATCCGGGGATGCTGCGTCAAACACTTACGCTATCCAAATAGCCGTTATGTTCAAACCAAACATGGTGACTGTTGCGGTGTCAACAGATGAGACTGTCATTCCAGAATGGCAAGTGGAACACATGCTGGACCAATTCAGTCATATTTTGCAGCAGGTGCACCATCATCCCACAAAGTCGGTGCACGAAATTGCTACACTAAATGACAAAGGTATCCAGCAGCTGCAAGCCTGGAACACTGGAGTCCCGGCACGATGTCCGGTGTCGGTCACAGATGTGATTTCTCAGCACTGTGAGAGGCAACCATTGAGTATAGCTGTCTCGTCTTCCAACTTCAGCCTATCATATAAAGAGCTGGACCTTCTTTCCACCAACCTCGCCAGTCTTTTGCGTACGCAGGGAGCGTCATCAGAGGTCTTCGTTCCAATATATTTGGATCGGTCCTGCTGGACTGTGGTGGCGCTGTTGGCCGTGCTCAAGGCAGGGGCAGCCTTCGTCCTTCTGGACACCTCGCACCCACAAGAGCGGCTTCGGAATATCTGCGAAGAAGTAAAGCCTCCTTTCATCCTTACCTCGACCGAGCATCGTCATGAAGCCGAGGCGCTGTTTCACAATGTTGTGATTATGCCTCAGAGCAACGACCCCGAGCTTGTGTCGATATCACATTACAGGATGACCCGTTTGGGTCCAGATCGTGCTCTCTATGCGGTATTCACATCTGGTTCAACCGGTAAACCCAAGGGAGTTGTGATTGAGGATGGTTCCTTCATGACAATGACCAACGAAGTTTCTCGTCTGATGGGTATTGGGCCAGGTGCCCGCGTCCTGAACTTCTCCTCCTATGCTTTCGACGTCAGTATTTCGGAAATACTCGGTTCATTGCTTGCTGGTGCTTGCATCTGCGTTCTGACGGAGTCTGAGCGCAGAGGCCGACTAATTGAGGCATTGCAAGAGCTACGACCATCGCATGCATATTTCACCCCCGGTGTGTTGCGCGCGATGGTCTCAAAGGATCTGGGGTCACTCCGGACGATCATGCTCGGTGGAGAGCCCCTTCGGTCAAGCGACATTAAGCAGTGGGAGCCACATGTACGTCTGGTATCCGGTTACGGTCCGGCAGAATGCGCGGTCACGTTTACTGCGCAGTCCCCAATAGACATTAGCTCGCAAGGCGGGAATATCGGATTCCCGATTGCAGGTGCCTGCTGGGTGACCGATCCACGAAATCCTGACCGAATGGTTCCTATTGGTGCTGTGGGCGAACTTCTCCTTCAAGGGCCTCAGGTTGGTCGCGGATATTTGAACAGTGCGGAACAAACAGCCACAAACTTCATCTCATCTCCAACATGGATGCGACGTGTTGGCCTCGCCGGTACTAGGAAGGAGGGCCGGGTTTATCGAACAGGCGACCTTGTTCGTTATGAGAACGATGGCTCTCTCTCGTTTATAGGGCGAAAGGACCTCCAGGTCAAGTTACGAGGTCAACGTTTTGAGCTTGCAGAAGTTGAGAAGCGACTGCAGGAGGTCTGGCCCGAAGAGCTAACGGACATCGTGGCTGAAATTGTCACTCCGATGGCTTCGATGAATTCCAAATGCTTGGTTGTCTTTGTCGCTTCGAAGGCAGCTGATACAGCTCCACTGCTATCCGGCTCACCGGTCCCTTCCCTGGAAATTGTTGCCACGGCCAACTTTACGGCCCAAATATCAAGTGTCAGGCGCCAACTCGGTGATATCCTCCCAGAGTATATGGTGCCATCTGCATTCGTCCCACTTCGACGGATACCTCACAATGCTAGTGGCAAAGTAGACCGAAAGCAGTTGAGAGACTCCGCGGCGAGCGCAACGCGGGTGCAGCTGGAGTCATTGTTTGCTGAAGCGCCTTCAGATAAGCGTGTACCCGCCACGGGAACGGAGCGGGAATTGCAGCACATCTGGGCCAAAGTACTGGATATTGCAGCCGACGAGATTGGTGCCGATGACAGCTTCTTCCGATTGGGAGGTGATTCTATCTCGGCTCTCAAAGCCGCATCGAAGGCTCGGGCAGCTGGGATTATGCATTCAGTGGAAAGTTTGTTCCAGTGGAAAACAATAATGCGCGTTGCCAAACATGCTAGCATCGTGACTTCAGATGTCATAGATGGGATACAGAGCGCAGGTTCTTCCTCGCGGCACCATATACCCTACTCCCTGATTGCGGACCACGAGCGTGCAGAACTTTTTGCTTCACATTCCGCACGGAAACATCCGTTGGTCAAAGAGAATGTGGAAGATATCATCCCGGCGCTCCCATTCCAAGTCTTTTACATAACCCATGCATCGCCAGTTTCGATGGCACAAATATTCCCAGCAGTCCTGGACATCGATAAACTAAAAAGCACGTGCAGGCAGGTTATGGCTCACCACAGCATCTTACGCACGGTATTTGTGGAGGCCAATGGCCGGTTCTTCCAGGTGATCATCCGGGAAGCAGACCCTGTTCTGAATGTTGTTCATTGTGATGATCCAGAGGCATATATTGCTCGAGAGTCCGAGCAGAAGGTTCCACCCTCTACAGTGCAGGGCACAATGCCAGTCAGCTTCACTCTCGTGACTAGTCGCGTCAAACAGTGCTCTGCATTGATTCTTCGCATATCTCATGCGCAGTATGACGGGGCCTCCATGCCATTGCTGTGGGAGACAATCAAGAAAGCCTATCATGATGAGCCGCTCCCACATGCTGCGCAATTCCAGGATGTGGCCTATAAGCGAATGGGCGATCTGAACAAAGCCGAGATTTCATTCTGGCGAAGATACCTTCAAGGTGTTGGCTCCGATGCCCTCGACCCCCTTCGTCAAACTGGAAAGGCACGCATTTCGGACAATGACATAGTCGAAAAGCGCCAGATGGGAATGCCCTCTCTTCCACCAGATATGACCGTGTCAACGCTTGTGAAAGCAGCTTTCTCGTGGGTCCTGTTTGAGAAAACTGCACAATCCGATGTTATATTAGGTCAGGTTGTTCATGGACGTGGAAGTTCCCTGTTGGACGTGAACACGGCCATTGGGCCCTGCTTGAATCATCTGCCCGTTCGAATCAGGATTGAACCTGACTGGACGGTGGAGGATTTCCTGCATCATGTTCAGGTGCAGCAGCTAGAAATCACAGCCCATGATGAGGGATCATTTGACGCGATCGCAGAATCTTGCACGGAGTGGCAATCTGGGTCGAAAATGGGCTGTCTTGTTCACCACCAGAGTGAAGAAGCCACGGAGCCCTTCGAACTGGATGGTGTTCGTTCGTCGTCTGGTTGCGATTGGGCCAGCTCCAAGTTGGCGCATGGTCAGCTTAGCATTATTTCCGTGGAACACGGAACCCAGCTTGAGCTTATGGTCTCAGCTACTGAGGAGACTATGGATCAACGTGGCATTGAGCTCCTGTTGGAGAAGTTGGTTGCCACCATTGAGTTGTTCTCGAAGTTTACGCAGAGCCAATTGGCAATGCTGGGTAGCAGGATCCACACATGAAGTTGTTGTCTTGCCTCGACAGGGGTACCGTGAATTTGTAGATGGGGTGGAGGAATGTGGGAAGAGGTAGTGGCGAGTCAAAAGATGGATTGGCAGACCGTACGATGAACAAGACCGGCCAGAATAATTTTGCATGTTCGCAGTTTAGCACAAAAATTGTTTATCTTTTTCAGTGAGATTAAAAATTGAACGACTTTTTTATAACGGTGATATTTATTTTGGTGTAGGACTAAACCCCCTTTTGCTAGATCCTGGCCATTGTTGGTACCGCCTTCTTAATTAGGTAGTTCTGCCTTCCGGGGATGACATCTTGTTATTCTTACCGCTGTACTCACCGCCTTCGATTAAGCGGCAGGAAAGTATCTGGCCAACTCGGGACACTCACCATTATATCCACAGATTCATTAGACGTCAGCTCTGAGGTTGTTCACTAACGGCACGAGCCCAAAATAGACTGCACAGAGCTTTATCTTGACTTAGACCCTATTGCACCGGGTGCAAGAGAGATTTGGTAGGTACCATTTGCTTGAATCGCGTATCCGCACGAGTTAGAAGGCTGCGGCCGCTGCGCTAATGTTTAGCTTTGAAGGATTCCACCTCTGTAACCTATCGGTACATTTTCAAACTAGTTAATGATTTATAGCCCGAGTATTAGGTTGCATCGGCCTGAAACAACAGATAATCCGACGTACCGGAAAATGCATTACGTGGCCTAGCGGTACCTTTCTGACTTTCAACAAATCAAAAATGGCATTGTTTCGTACTTAAAGTGGCGTAGAATAGGCGAGGAGACTATCAAACCAACGCTTGCTGCTACGACGTGGACATATAGCTGAATCCTGCCATTCACAATCTCCGGGGCTCTAAGCCTTTTTATTCCCTCTATTACAGAAAGGTATAAAGGTGACATGTATAGATCCCACGCAAGACCTCGTCCATTTGCGCTGATTTAGTACTCAATGGCGTAGGAAGAAGAAGGGTTGGAACAACAAATAACCATAGTAAATATGCCCGCTATGACCGACACCTTTGTTCCTTCTCTATCCTTCCACTCATCCCATGCCCTACAAACTGCCATTTTTATACACCGGGGAAATACCCTGAAGAAATGCATGTATACCATAGGGCATTCCGACTCCGCAGAATTGTGTATAAGAATGTGTCTAAGTCTCACTTTGGAGTGGTCGTCGCTCCCGCCGGGACTGGCCTCGAGGAAGCCGGGGTGGTCGTCGCTGATCCGGTTTTTGTGGAGCAACTTCCCTTGACTGTCGTTTTGGCTCGAGCGACCCAGTCTGTGTATGACGTGTTGGGCGCATCTTTCAGCGTAGCCGCCCAGATGTTGTGTCCATTATCGTGATAATCGAGGGTGATATCAGAGGGACATTTCGGGTTCCCTGGAGCGGGAAAAGCCTGGGCCCATCCTAAGTCCACCAAACCCTTGCTCGTGGAGGCATTTCCACTCTCACTGCCCTGAGTCCACTGCAGACAGTTTGAGCATCTAAAGATCAAGGTGTAGTGTGTTGCATTGATAGTGGATGAAATTTGGGTTAGCTCGGCGTTCCCAGTGTAGACATCCGGCATGTGGTAGCCTGTGGTGTAGCGGAAGGACGTGAGAATGGATCCGCGATAAGGGTAGGCCAGCAAGAGAAGGGAATTGGTCATTGTACCCCCGAGCGAAACACCACACCAACCGGTGGACGTAGCATTCTGTGAGGAACATACCTGCGTGACCGCTTAGTAAAAAGGACAGACAAAGCGGGAATTAGGCAAGGTAAAAAGATCCACACACCAAGTAGCCGATAAATTCGGAGGCGTCTGTGGTTAGAGCATCGGATGGCAGAGCGATACCAAAAGTGAACCCTCCCTTGCTCAAGGTCTCTGAAACAGCCCAAGTATCAAAGGTGATTCCTGTATCCGGGTCTGTGTATGCCACTGGAGTCCCACTCTGGGCCACAGAGGTTGATAAGACTAGATGAAACTGGGTTAGCTAGTGATTCACTCATCTTTGAGTAGGAAGAGGGGAAAGCTTACATAGCGTAACGGCCGCCACGGCGACCAAAGCATTGGCACAAAACCTCATATTGCTATTCGTCTTATGATTGCAATCGCAGTGTCTAGAATACCAGTATCAGAGAAGGTTGCATGCGATCACAAACGGGGTAATAGGCATCTTTTAATGTTGAACACCACTGCCCCCGCCCCGCTTCCTATAGGGACTGTTATCCGAATATGATGAAGAGCGTCAAGAAAGATGTAGGACTGCACATGCATTAGGTGTGACTCGAAACCTCAAAATGTACTAAAGCTAGCTTTTCCGCGAAAAGACCGTTTCATCCAAAGGAAGTTAAACAAAAGGGATCGACAGGGCGATATCGAGGTGTGTTTCAGTTTGATTGGGATATATAGCGAAATAGGGCACAAAATGCTACGAAATGATAATAGCCCGCCTGTTATTGGTCGAGCCCAAATTGTAAGGCTGTATCCATAGCAAGGGCGGTTGCAGAATGAGGTAGGGAGGGTATAATGATTTGATGGCTCCCCGATGAACGGCCGACTGGGGTAACATCAACGGGGGGGGTTAGGAGACGCTAGCTATCCTCCTTGTCAACATTTGAAATTGCGACTAACGACCAATGGATAAAACAGGGCGGCGATCATTATATTCCCATCCTTCCTTCCCTGTCTAGTCCCCCCGCTAAAGACCCGGTAAAATGCCACAAATTAAATTTTTAGTTGGTCCAAATATTCACTAGCTAAAGCCGGGCTCTCGTTAGCATCTCGTTGCATTGTTTTGCAGAGACAAAAGACGCAAAACAAAGGTACATTTCATAGGATAAGCCACGGTTATTGTATTAGCGACGATCCCTACGATGTAGACCGTCGCCTAGATACCTTCTTTCTCAATGAGGAAGACAGTGTTGGGCAATTACGTCTAGCCATCACCCTTCATGAACCATTACCCATCCGGACTCTTCAGGGCCTTCAGGGCAGATATTCAAGAACTTGGATATTCACACCGTGCAGTAGAAGGTAGGTTCTGCCATTTTGACCGAAAAAGCAGTAACCTTTTTTCCCCTTTCCCTTTTATCTCTCTAGCCTTGCTTCCTCATTAAAGTATGATATATACTACGCATAACCTAATATTGACCCAAAGGGAGCAGCTTTGCAGCCCGACATAGTCCGTCGTCAACACATCAATCGTCATATTGGGGTAGGTAAACGGGACTGGGAATCGGAAGAATTTGGTGGTGGAGAGCTGATATCGTATCGCTGTTGAATGATGATCAAGTGTGCGAACTAACAATGAAACTTGCAAGGCGGCAAAGGAAAACGTTCGCATCTAGAGAGAGGTTGTATATTAGCAATGCATGAAGTGGGTGATCGTCCCAAGTTAAGGTCGGGGTGTAAAATAGAAGTAAACTGGAATGAGCAGTGGGGCCCCGAGGCGCGTTTAGGTATCCACGCGAAGTCGATCAGCTTGCTTCAGGCTTGTGGGCTCCTGTCATAATAGTCACTCACCAAACGCGATTCTGCCTAGTTAGTTAACTAGTTAGTCAAAGATCACTTCTGTTGGAGCCTGGATGGTCAGGCACCAGGGACTCCAGATCGCCAGCTCCTCCAAGTCCTCACCGCCTTTCTTTCTTCTCCAGAGGGTTTATACGCGCCCAGGCTAAAAGAAAATCACTGCATGAATGCCTAATCATGCAGCTCAATCACACCATAATCTGAGGTGATATGTGCTTCCTCTAGAGCAAGATTGAGGCTCTTATCCTGGCCAAACTTGAAATATGTTTGACACGTGTGATTATTCCCCTAGGGTCTAATGCCCTCTGGCAGGGGCGAGTGGGGTCATTAGGACCCTTCCCTCCAGATAGAACTCTCGTTCTCTCTCGTCTTACGGCATATCTTTTGCACTGTACTTTTCGTTCCGTTTCTCTCGTTTCATGTGTATCGCTACTGCCACTACTACTACTCTATCCTGGATGCTTTGACCACGATCACATGAGACGAAGACTGTCGTGGCTATGGGTTACTACGATGAAGAAGGGAATTATCATTCCTTCACAAGGGCTGTAAGGGCTGTTGAATATCCGCTTCCCTGGTACAATTAGTACAGCATCGTGCTGACCGAGTAGCCCGAAAACCAACTCACCCTAAAGAAGCCGCAGCTGCTTCCTCGTCCTACCGCTTCCAAGCGAGCAGGTCACCACGATAATGGGGAAGCCTCTAAAACATCAGAACCTCATGATCTCCACGATGACAATGGAACTTATGATGACCTCAAGGATGATAAAAATCGTGAGCCTCCCCTTCAGGATAGGGACTCTGGGGTACCTGGTGGAAATCAACCGTTTGTGACAATTCCTTGTCATTTCATTCGAATTGGCGACATATTACTTCTCAATCAACGACCTTGCCAGGTTATTCGAATCTCTGTCAGTTCACAGACAGGTCAATGCAGATACCTGGGTGTTGATTTATTCAGCCGCCACCTTCGCGAAGAGACTTCCTTCGTAGCCAACCCCTCGCCAGATGTGATTGTTCAGAGCATGCTGGGTCCAGTCTATCGCTTCTATCGCTTGCTGGAGATGAACATGCTTGACGGCACAGGTATGATACATGTCTCCTCCCAGACCTTATCACCCCCTCACCTTCCATCAACAAGCTCTAATCTCTAAACTGAGCATGTTTATAGTCGTTGCTATGACCGAAACCGGTGATGTCAAACTAGGTATTCCGGTACTACCCCAGATGTCGCTTATCGAACGCATTGAACGTGAATTCGCAAATGGAAAAGGCACTATTCGTGTCTTGGTTATTTCCGAAGTGGGCAGCGGCCGTGAATTGGTCGTTGATTTCAAAAACAGCCGAGGTATTATGCCAGCTACCTCCCTTGCGAGTGAGCCTGATGAATACGAGCACAGATCAGACGGCATCGAAGTGGAAGTTTATGCTTTTTCGAAGACTGGCGAACCGTCTGTGTTGCCTGTTACTGAAGATGACAAAGAAGCTCAAGAACACACATCACTCGAGTCTCCGAACCCTTTCCCGGGGTATTTAACAGCTCATAATGTTGATTGGATGGAGTTCCAAGGGGAAACCGAAGTGACCCTCTGGACGGTTACGACACCAACAACGCACAGCAGCCCGAGGCTATTTCGATGGATGTATGGATACTCTTTCCCTCTCTGAAAGAAAAATTTCCTTACTATGCCTCCCAGTCACATGCAGCCCCCGGTAATGCGGTTCAACGACTTTAAAGTGAGTCATTATTTCAGTCAAAACTCCCAGATTGAGACCATGAGCTTATTGTGAGATAGGAGAATGCAACACGTATACCTGGCTTATCCGATAGTGAGAAGAAATCACTCAATAAGCTCCTCGAGAGAGTCGAGAGTGAATGTGATCGAAAGCCTAGCCCCAATACGACCGGTCGGTTCATGAAACCCGGCCATCTGACTGAGACCTTTCCGCGCGAGAGTTTTGACCTCGATATACTCTCTTGGCTCTGTCTTCCATATTTTTGTCTTGATGCACTGTGCAGTGATTCGAATGAATTTTCAGATTCGTATCCTATGCAACGATTGCTGCAGGACCTAATGCTAAAACCGGAACAGGAGAAGAAGCAAGTCATGAGTCTCATGAACCCGCCTGAAAATGGCAAGTGCCTACATGTTGCACAATTGTGGGCCATTGAGATGAACAACTGTAGGTTGTCAATGAGCTCTATTCATATAGAGAGACTAATATTTTAGCTCTCCTCGTCACCTACGGAAATCTGGATTTATCTAAGCTCGATGGCATAGACTTGAAAGATCTACCTCCAAGCCAAACTAATCAGCCCCCCAAGATTCCCCCTCGCCGCATCTTTGTATCCTTTGAGAAGAGGGTTATGTGGTCTCTGCCTTTAGAGGACTGCATCACATGGCCAGTATGTCCATATTCCACCTCTGAGCCCCGAAAGCAAGATTTAACAACACCAGAGCTTCCTCTCACACTTTACCGAATTTGACACCACTCAGCTCGTTTTCACGTACGGAGGAGAACATGTTGAGCCTAGTCAATATGCCGAGTTACTCAACGGGGAGCATGACATTAAGTTGGCGCTGAACATCACGTATGAAAATAAATACCCGACCCAATATGTGGCTTGTGACGATGAGTAAACTAATTCGTCCCAGTGAAGGATCCGATATCTTTTCAGAGGTAAATGGTGGATTCGCCGTATTTGAGTGGCTCACCGATAATGGTACAGCTCTACATGATGATGGAGATCATGGAAAGGCCATAAGGGTACAGGAACGCCTAACAGCAATTGATGAGTTCCTGAAAGAACAAAACGTTGACTCCCGCGCTTATACTGACGCACCGTTGTTAAATTCCGAGGCAGTACGGGAGCTTGTCAAAGAAAGCGAACTCGCTACGAGTACTGCACAGGCAGCAGAATCGCTATATGGCTTTTTCGTTCCTCCCAATGCCACGGGTCCTGTCCTGGGGAAATACTGGGGTGCGGTGCACTCCCTCATTCGAGTAGGTTGCTTTCAATTCAATAAACCATTCAATCCGGATAACATGATGAGTCTAATAATGACTTTTATAGAATTTGCAATCTGACCCAACGGAGGACATCAGTCCAGTCAAAGACTTTTGTGACCAGCTGATTGACTTGGCAAGGCAGATGAATCCGATCAAGCTTCGCTTTTCGCGCCCTGGTCTGATCAAACCCCCTACTGACAAGTCATCACACCCACTGGAGATTGCTTGGATACATCTTCTCATGTCCTTAATCTCCGTGAAACGAATGCCACATCGGTCGCGTCAACACATAAACACTTGTTCAGGTCTGCTTATCTTAGGCATTACAAGAGTAAAGGATACTTTCTCGGGTCCACCACCACAGAAGCCGAAGGTAATTTTACCTTTCGATATTGCAACTTTGATTGGCTTTCGCCTCTTGGGTGAATGTGAGCGGAAACATTCTCCTGGTAGAGAGACCAAGGGGATTTCCAAGAAGAAGTCTCCAGCTATGGATATCAAAATGATTTGCAAAAGTTACTCTGATTATTTGGATCGATTGGTAAGTACCCAGCCATGGCATGGCCCCAAAAACCAAAAGAAAAGAGCTAGAAGAGCACTGCTAAAAGACGAGCAGAAAAAACGTGTGCAAGTTGATAAATTGGACGTGTCCCACAAGGAGGAAATCGAATTCCTACAGACACAAATCAAGCACATACAAGACAGGCTAGCAGACAAAAAAGTGGTTTGGGACGCTCTAACTATACCCACGGCGAACACAAAAATGGAAGTGAAGCGGGAGTCTCGGCAAGGAACCCATCTAGGAGATGGTTCCGCCCATTCAATTTCCAAGCCAGGAACAGTTGATGCATTCAATGAAACCAACGACGAACCCGAGAGCTACTCAAATAGCCAACATATGTCCCAAAACAGTCTTACCAGTCTACGCAGTATTTACTCCGAGAACTGCAGAAATCTGATTAATGAAACGGCAGAAGAATTCAGACAGCTTATGGTCCAGGCCCGTACTCTTAAGGACATGGTATGTTGCAAAAAGAAGAAGAAGACGACGAAGAAGCCATTTTTATCATATTGAACGCCCACTGACAAAATTGAATAACTTCAGAACGACAAGAAGATTCAAAATGACAAAAGCCGCCAAGACTTCGCAATCTATGCCTTTACAATCGTGACAATCATCTTTCTTCCATTGAATACAGTCTCGAGCATTTTCGGTATGAACACTACTGATATTCGCAATATTGAGAGCGGGCAATGGATCTACTGGGCAGTAGCCATTCCATTGACTGTCATTGTTATGGCCCTGACGCTATTCTGGGCTGGGGAACTTGAGATATTTTACAATCTTGTGAAAAGTTTCCCACGTCGCAGAAATGTGAGCTAAGCAGGCATGAGCCCTAAGTCATGTGGGAATGGATAGCTCTATGCTCCTTTGAAAACCTCCGATTAACTAGTTTCACTTTCCATCTGTCAAGACTGCCACAATATCCTTATAGAAAACGTTGTTAGCCAGAGCCAGACCAAAGGGTTGTGCCTGCAACAATATACCTAGAAAACGTCAGCACGGGAGGGGAAGGAGAAGTCAGTGCTTCAGGGCCATGCAGGATGTTCAGGTGCGAAATAGTGGTGTTCAGGACATTCAGGTGAACGGAAGGGAAGGAGTCTTCTTCTTCCCTCGCAGGATATAAACAAATAAAATAAAAACAAAAAACATACAACAGTGAGGATTCGCTGGTGGTCACCCACCCAACTACTAACTCACCGGCGTGTGGCTTGAGTACGGCTGAGCGGACGGGAAGCCCTATTTTCCACACCCTATGGTCGTATGTATCTGTTGGAACTATAAAGGGGTATACAGGCAGCTTATATCTACAATACACGTTTATTGGGTATCATAATCCTACTTGAAACACCCGGTCTCTTGGTGCTAATCTTTGTATGCTCGATGCATGTCGTGAATATCTTGTTTTTTGGATGTTTTATAGATCTGTTGGGGGTGCTGATGCGGATGTATTTCCTTCTCTCGATGCGCCGCGGTTCTCTCGATGGTCCTATTTGCCCAGGTTACGCTGAGGCTGGCCTTCCCAGGTCATCAATCTGCGCCCGTAGCGCTTGTGTTTTATTTTGCCAGTGCCATACTTCGTCTGGGAAGAGAGATATGTGTACGAATCATTAAACAACAAAAAGGTTTCAGGTGCATGACGCTCATTGACTTGGATGATACCTAGAGCCGTCTTGTAGCCTATGACAGGGAGAAGTTTAAGTTTTATTTGGGTGGTGATGTTTGATTCAATCTTGGAACTTATTTTGCTCGCCTTTTGACTGATTATAGTCTGAGAGACCGCGTAGCCTATCCCCTTTGAGGGCGATTTGACGACATACTATTTACTGAATCTCTTCAAACGCCCGAACAATGAACGACTTTCCCTGGATGACCACCTTCTCCCCTGGGATCCTCCATGTACCCATACCTTCTCCATCATAGCCGTTTTTCATCGAGGGTACGGCAGCTCCATCAGGGCCCACTATATACTTCTCCTCCCACCTAGAACTCCACTCTTCTCTTCTCGCGCTGACTTCACTTCCCGACCTCTTCACAGACCACACTCCGCTCTCGTCTTTCTGTCTAGAATGAGTCTGAGTCTGCTGGAACGCCAAATAAGTTCCCCAGATACGGCCCATGAAGATCTTGGTTATGGTCACCTGTCCTTCCTGCTCACCTAGAGCTAGGGGAGCATCATCGGACTCCAGAATCCACGAAATCCCTTTCTTCGCCCCTTCTGGGCCCTCCCTGAAGGGTAGCTCCTGCCAGACCTCCTCAAAGGCTGTCATAGGCGCGCCGGGAAGGTCGGTCCGAGGCATCTCCCCGCTTTCAAGGTCGGTACCATCGGGACGGGGGCTAAAGTTACCAATATCCTTAATGCCGATCTCATTCAGGGAGTCCAACTCGCGTGTAAAAATAACTTTGACTGTTAAAATAATTAGTGGCTATTCAGCCAAAGAACGTAAACGACAATAATAGGTGAGTTCAGGGCAACGAACGTGGGATTCCCTTGGGATTTTCCTCGATTCTAGTACCGGCCATTGCCCAGTCGATGCCGCCGGATTTCTTGTCCATTCGCAGATCAAGGAACCAGTCTCCCACGGAAAGTACAATTGTGTCGGTTGTTTCCTCAGGGACTTCTGGGACCCATCGGAGCGAAATGCGTGTTGAGAAACCGCATGATGAGCCTAGTTGAGCACCGGTAGCAGACATTGTGTGAAGGTCTCTCCCTAGGTGATTTTTGGTGGTCACCAGTTCCTTTATACCGAGTATTCTAATCAAACTTCGCCATGGCAGGTTTCGGTGATCAAAGCCAATTGAAAGTCGCAGCTCTCTCGTGCACCGCTTGGCCCTAGCTTATGTAACACTTCCGAATTGGGAAATTTGAAGCGATTCGAAGATGGATACGTTATCAGGCGTTAGTTGTGTATCATCATTCACCCACAATATAAGACCACAATATAAGACTAACTGGCTACGGACCCTGGGTTATTCCCAGTTCACCTACGACTATTCCAGATGGTATTGATACCGGTACCGATCAGTCCAACTCTTAACGGTACCACGGTTTATGCCACTGGTAACTGCTCCTAACATATATTTGACCACAGAAGGTGCTGAAAAAATAAATAAAAGGCTATAAATATCAACTTTGTCAAGAACAATAGCACCCAAAAAAGACATCGCCACCCTGGGGTTTGCTGTCAGGTCCAGCAAATATGCCAGCCTGGTGATAAGTCTATCTCCTTGTTTTACTCTAGTCTCATTCATAGAAGAGCTTGATGTTGACACCAAGAAAAACAGGCTGCCAAGTTAACGGAAATCAAGACTTCGAATGAATTTTTCAAGAATATATATTCAGCCCGCAACTACCACATAAATCCAAACTCCATTATCATCAAATTGTCTTATTTGATAGTAAGTGACGACATATGAGCTAGAATTACATCCTTGAAAAGATTCATTCTCCAGAATGTACGTACATAAGAGTAGTTCTGTTTGAGGTTCTAAGGTAGTTGGTTCACCCGTTTTGGGAAAGCGTGGTGAGCCTAATCCATTTAGAGTTCTCGAATCAGGAACCTTCCAAGGTTGGTACCTACCTAGGAAGGTACCTAGGTATGGATTGCCAACTTAGTCATAAGATGGTCCAACTTGTACGTCATTCTGCGTCTGGCTGCATCAACATGACCCGGACTTCCCAATTTCGTCGCCTATTGCTTTCCCACTTTGATATTCGTGGAACATTTAATTTCATGTCATCTTTGTCTCCGACACGTAAGATGATATATGCCACCATAGGGTTAGAAAACAGGAATTCCCGTCCGCTCAGCCGGACTCAAGTCACACGCCGAATGTCTATACTGGCCAATGATTTGGTCTAGCCTAGCAGGGAAAATAGTTCTTCGCCGCTTCATGACCGCACGGTGCAGGGTGAGTGCATAACGAATGGAAGCGAAATCATGTCTTAGTATCAAATAAGCGTCGACCAACCACTGGTCCACTTATACGCACTAGTGATTGCTAGTCAGACCCTGGGCCCCTACCCCAAAAACCCCTCTTCCAACCTCCACCAAGTGCGGCTCAACGCAGATCCTCAACCCAAACGCGCTGCATTTCACCAAAAGGAAGAAAAAAAATGTCAGAGAAAGCTCAACCTCGGGCCCTCGCGATCCCCGAGATCGTAACCTCAATCCTACATCAAATGGACACGCGCACGCTGCTCGCCGCCCAAAGAATCAGTCGCACGTGGAAAGATCTGATCTGCAACACGCAGTCACTTCAGGAGGCCTTATTTCTCCGACCAAGCAGTAATGGCCATGACCTCACCCCTCGAGTCGACAACCCACTGCTAGCAGAAGCGTTCCCTTCACTATTCCGGTCGCCAGACCGGGACAATGCGCAGGGACAATATATTAGCCTAACGGATCTTGCCTGGGAGAAAGACTCCACTACTCGAGCGATGTTCATTCGCCCAGAAGCAAGCTGGCGCCGAATGCTTACACACCAACCACCTCTCTACCGAGCCGGTGCATTCCAATCCAGCTGCACACCTTTTGGCTGGGGGTGGAGTCAGGAAAAGGCAGGCATTGCGGAAGATGGACTCCGGATGGCACCGCTCTTTGAATACTTGATTGATCGAGACCCGGACGATTGGGCTTACGGGATGTCAATCGAGATCTTTTTCCCGTCTTCTTCCCCTATCGGGCTCCTTGCATTAGACAAATATAAGAATTGGTGTGAGGCTTATGGAGCCGATTGGGCTTGGAGGGAAATGATGGGGCAATTTGATCTTGTGCTGCAGGTTGAAGGGAGTACTACCTGTACGTCTGAGATGGATTATGAGGAGGAGCAGGAGGAAAGGGAAAAGGAGGCTAAGGAGAAGGGGGTGAAGCTTCCAGACACTGGTATGGTTGTGTCGAAAAGAATCTGTGAATGTTATCGGGAATTGGGTGTGAAGATGGAGGGCCTTCGGATGGAGGAGTATAATAAAGGGTGGGGCATGTGGGACTAAAGTAATTAGTTGCATGTACATAATTTCGCGATCGTGCTGGTTTGTTTGTTCAAAATCGCTTCTACCGCTTTGTTCTTGTCGCTTTGCTTGCCACTTATATGTTGTGGTCTATGGTAGAGAGTCTGCGTGCGAGCGCGTATGGTTTCTCGTATGCAACGCTGGCAGTCACTCCAGAAATGAGGTTTCTCGTGACAGCGGACATGGCGGGAACAAGGTACAAAAGGGTCATTGACGGGAAATTGTGCGCCTGATGCCAACGCGGGCACAACACTACCAGGCTCTTGTACACATCGGTACGCGCCCAGGGTGTTTGCAATGAACATGGCATGGAAACCGGCCTTGTCAAGCAACTGAGCTAGCTTGGTCCAGAATAAGAGTGAATTGTACTGGTCTGTCTGGACTGAATAAAAAGATGTAGTGGTGAGGGCTCGTACTGGAGGAGAAACCTCGGATGTTTCGCCGAGTACTTGAGCTTTAGTATTTGGTTAAACACATATAACGTACATATATGAAATAAATTCTGAAAGCAGTTACATGAAGAGCCATCTTTGGTTTCTCTAGTTTCATTGCAATCTTTCTCTCTTGGTTCACGCGTGCTTTTTGCGGTGTACCGCCCTGGTCATGTTTATTACAGCAGTTTATTGTTCACGAGATATTACGTTCAATACGATCCTTGTATTTTAAATACTCACTCGTACCTTTGGTGTCGTAGGCCTGCAACCAAAAGAAAAAAAAGGGGCAACCCCGATCCACTTGTTTGGGTTTCACCGGCACGGCAAACTGGGGTCGACACTAAACAACGTGTGGGCCCAGCCCAGTTGGCTGGTCGCCTAACTAGCCCCATCCTCGCCCCACCCTTTTTCAGGGTCCATCGGGCCAATTTTCCTACTTACATCACCTTCCTACCTATCCTTACTACCAAAGGATTCCGAAAACTCCTCAGGATCACATTTGTAGGGCTAGATAACTTATTTAACTCCCTACTTAATTGCGAATCAACCCTAGATTCGCGTTTTCCTAGTTGTTTGGCGTTCTAAGGGATAAAAGTTGAGATATTGCTATTTGAAGTTGAACCATGTGAAATAGGACGGTCCGGGGGAGTGGGTGATGCAAGCTGAATATTGAAATAAGACAACACCCGGTCAGGCTCAAATGCAACAGGACCAGTAGCAGCGAGGCGCTATGAATAACGGTTCCTTTAGGTGCATCACCACAGGCTTTGGGGAAGATATCAATGAAGTCATATTTTTTTAGTAGAATTGATACCTAATCGGGTATATCCTGCAATCCGACTTCATAAGATCGCTTCAAAACAGCAACACAACCAATATCAAGAGGCTGCAAAGGGTGGGAAGTATACGTAGGCATACATCTACAATAGGTATTATCCAAAAGGTTCGGAAACAGCAACGCAACTTCTCATTGTTATCACCTCGGTTCCGACCGATACGATCAATCTCCGACAGATAAAGAGTCTCTTGGATTTGGTGACATCGCATATCTTGGCATTGGTGAAACTTTCTTCTGAGTTATATTTCTCGATTATAACTATATATTTGCCGTTCATGGGCCCTACGTAGGGCTTATAGCCCAAATCCCAAAGCCCATCAATGTATAACAATCTCAAATAGGATGGATAAAGTGCTGATTCAGCCAACAAGAATACCTAGGTACTCGTTATCTACACTTGTTTCGGTCACAACAGAGCCCACCACCCACCCCTAATTGACCCAAATTCCTGTGGAATTTAAAGAAATATTCAAGTATTCTGACGTTTCAGACAGGTGCTTTGTATTTTATTTCCTTGGTATAAGGCTCTGAGTGCATTAGCGGTGGGGTTATGAGCGGATATCGCAAAGCCATAAAACCCATCAGAGATATATTTTTCTGGGCCGAGTATGTTAGGACAGCCTAACGTCCAGATATGACCAAAGATTTACTTGATCTTGATTTTGTTTATTATTTCTACTTCTCATACTCCAGTGGCTCTGTAAATGGTGGTATTTACGCTCAGTACATCCCACCTCATACTGTTCGGAGTCAGTTGACCGAAATCAGCCTTGATGATTGCCGAGGTCTTCGCGCTTTTATTCATGGTTTACTGATGGTTTACTGATTACCAATGTTTCCGAGATATTTCTTCCCGTGAGCCTTGAAATTGGCATCAATGCTCACATAGGCCTGTCGGGCTCCAACAGGTCCGGAAAGCGCCTAAAGGAGAGCCAGAGCAGTTGCCTTGGTTTGAACAATCCTAGGAAACGTATCATTTCCTCATCTCGAGGAACGGAAATAAGAATAATAGAAGAAAGAGACCATCTAGGAGGGACGAGACAATATTAATATAGGGTAGGAGCCATCGTGTCAAGGAGGAAGATAGTCATAATTAAGTGCTAGATGGCTAAGTAGAGATATTTCCCTAATTTTATATATATCATTCATCTTTTTCATAGATGCGGAACGGAAATTGCCTATTTCATCCAATGTCCTAGCATTTTACTTGGTAGAAATAATATTCAATCAATTTTTTTTGCCTAAATATTTGCATAGAAGGCTTCGGCCTAGACGCATCTTTAGATACGACCAGACCATCAAGCTCCTTTCTGGCAGGCCCGCTGCGAGTTCTAGCCCCTAGCCGTGCCAAGCGCCCAACACCAGTGGTGTTGATGCACCCCACCAGATAGCCATTTTTCACCAGATAACCAATTTATTTACAGTTTATGTATCTTTTGTATGACTTACCAATATAAAAGGTACCTAGACAGCCCGTAGACATAACATACATGTTCTCAGCGCTCGAACTAGCTAAAGTAATAGAAAGTATACGAATATATATTAAAAGTCTAGCTTAATTAGTTTAATGGTATTAGAAATTCTTAGTATCTAATATAAAAGAAGAATAATACTTTTAAAATGCCACTATATAAAGGTTAACTAGGGGAAATAACCAGGTACATTCTTTATTTTAGTATACTTAATATTCCTTACCAAAGTTTGGATAAATAATATAGACATCCTTTATACTATATATATCTTCTTATATCTTCCCTAAATAGTTCGAGTGCTGAGAAAATGTATGTTATGTTTACGGGGTGTCTAAGTACCTTTTGTATAGGTAAGTCATACAAAAGATACATAAACTGTAAATTGGTTATCTGGTGAAAAATGGGTTATCTGGTGGGGCGCACCAACAACCAACAACCTGGAACGGTTGTTGGGCGCCTGGCACGGCTACATATCAAAATGAAAGGACTCTCAAGCCTTGGTTTGTGTTTAAGGGGAAAACATTGCGGTCAGTAGGAACGGAATCAGGGTCCTCCTACGTGAAGCCGACGGAGATCAATTCTACGTTGGAGGTTGCTTCAACCAATCATCTTCAATTATGCCAAACTAGGCGTGCCCTGGTTTCAGATACTACCCGGTTCTTTGCCAACCAACGGGAATGCTTAAAGTCATTTTCGGCTTCCCCTGTTTAATTCCCCGAGGAACCTCCGAGTAGGATCATTCCTGACATTCTTCAATGAACAACCCAACCCGCACAGAAAAGTATAATAACCATTAAACAACGTCATTAAACTCAAAATGTTTTAAGATTATTGTGTCTCATAATGAAACTGTCATATAATGAGAATGTCTCAGTACGATACATCCATTGAGAATTGCCATGGATACCTACATATGTCTATCATCCCTTTACTAGTTACTGGGAGCGGAGAAACTAGCTACTAAATAGGCCTGGACAGCCTCAGGTATCCATCACAGACGATGCTTTGACAGATCTACTATATGTCTGCTTACAAAGGGTATATACTAACTGTATTTTGATGAAGATCCAAGTTTTGCTAGAAAATATTATGGAATCTACTGATGGAATGCAGATGGAGAAACCATGTAACTAGATTCTTGATGTAGAAAGTGGACAAGAAGAGAGAAGAGAGAAGGAGAGAGAGAGAGAGAAACTATCTACTACACAGATGTGGATCTGTCCCATGTGGGTCCTGGGCCTCACGCACCCCAGACACCCAACAGAAAAGGCTTACTTTCAGCCATCAATTTGCCATCAAGTCGCGTTGTAGCGTTGTAGTATAATGCAGTGTTTTTCTCGCACTATCAAGCACCAACTCCCAACTTCAAGCGCCCATGAAAAATTCCCAGGTCGCATCTGGAGCCAGAGAACTCTCAACACCCAGGGGCGCAGGATCATGTCCCCCATCATAAGCAATGAAGGAAACTGGCTTGGAGCACCCGTGGAAGTCCGTTCGAGAGGAACTGCCACTCCCAGACGCCGGCTTATCGATGTTTGCTTGCTGGCACTGGTCGTTCTCAATAAACTTATTCGCCAGATCCACACCCCCGTCAAATGGTAGAATTGGGTCATTGATCCCATGAATACCCAAATAAGCGATAGGATCATGGCCCCCATCACATCCACTAATCACACCACCACTCAGCACACTAACAGCCTTGAACTGCTTCGCCCGCGAACAAGCAAGCGAATAGCTCATTCCACCGCCCCAACTGAAGCCCGTCGCGAAGCGAGAGCTCGGGTCCACACAGAGGTCACCCTCGACTTCCTGGATAATAGCGTCGATGAGGGCCACGTCTTCTCCGTTGGAGTTGGCCCAGCCAGCGTTCTTGCCGTTGGGAGCTACCAGGATCGCGCTGCCCTGCGCTCGGCTTTCGAGACCGTACCAGGGTTGAACGCTTTGGCCGTCGACGACAGAAACCATGTTTCCGCCTCGCCAATGGAGGCCGAAAACGAGGTGATGCGGCTTGTTTGAGTCGTAATCGTCAGGGATCTTTAGGATGTACTCGCGGCCATTGATATTGTGGACTCCATTGGCGAGAGTGGGATTTTTGCCGCAGCCCGAGGACGTGGCGGCCTCGGCCAAGGATAGTAATCCCAGGGATAGGAGTGTAGGAAGAAGCATCATTGCCAACTAACAAAGAAAGAATATCACAGACAATGGGATTCTGATGGAGTGAAAGATTTGAGGGTCGTCTCAATATTTGGGATTGATTGTCGGGACAAGTGAGAGTGAGCTTCACGGCCACCTTTATATATTTTCTTAGAGTTGGATGATTAAGCTGCCAACATAATCGCCGAGGTTCCCTTCCCAAAAGGAACGGAGCTCTGGATGGATGATCTTTCCTCGGACTTCTGTTTCAGGGTGCAGATCACCGCCCGGCTTGATGTGTGGGCGAATAATCGGAGCAGGCGTGGCCAGGAATCAGGTCAAACGTTTTAGATAAACAGCCATGGGCAGCTTTCAAATACAATTTTTTCTATAAGCGGACAAATACATCCTGACCAGGCTATATTCTGGCATACTCTTTAACAGACCCAGTGACCAAAAGTCTAGTTGTCTCAGTTAAGACCTTCAATTTCCACATCGCCAATTATATCGCTTCTAGAATTATTAAATAAAGTAACAGATTATCATTCCAAGCCGCCTCTATCGGCAATTAGGGGCATCGTTCCTGCCGAGATTTATGTTTCCTTAGGACCTAGGGAAGCTCTCACGGATTACCTATTACGTAGTTGTTCTTTTGAAACAAAACTTGTGGAGACCACCTGGACAGCTTTGTCTCCTCTCAGCCCGTTGCATATTTAGACAGGAATGACAACCAATCCACTATTATGGATAGAACGGGGATGCCTCCATGAAGGCTAGCTTCTAAGTCTTAGCATATTTCTTTCTAGGATAGAGAAGCCTTGCAATGTCTGGCTGAGGTTTGAATAGGATCCAGATATGTCGCAAGCCCCAATAACATGCAATTGCTAGGGGTCAAGATGCGTATCTCATGCTAAGTACTGAGAGGTCAGAAAGCATATAAGAACATAGCTGCAACACAGTCATTGTTAGTCGGCCTCTTCCGTTCATTTATATCTCAGTATATTTGCTTTACTTGGGCTAGTCCTTTATTCGTTCTTTACAAAAGCCAAACAATTCATTCATTCATTTAAAAATGAAGTTCTCCCTTCTCGCTGCCGCGGCTATTGCGCCCATGGTCTCGGCCTATTATTTCTTTGATACCCTCGTCATTATGACCCCTGATGTTCTTGACTTTCGCTGCAATAAGGGCGCCTTCAGTTTTGCTGACACAACTGGTACCGCGGAGGTCAAGGCTGGATCCAATCTTGCTCTGAAGCTTGTCGTTAGTGCTAGAATGCAGCACCCTGGTCCCGCCCTCGTATATATATAATATGTCTAAGGCTCCTAGTACGGCCAAGCAATACCAGGGCGACGGCGAGTGGTTCAAGATCTACTAAGAGAGCGTCTACGATGAGAATAAGGACTTTGCTAAAGATGCCTTTGGTACGTATTTTGCTCGTGATAAAGCGAGGTTAGGTTGGAGTGACGAAGTGAGGTTGTAGTGATAAAGCGAGGCTGGAGAGATAAAAGTGGAGGAGAAAAGAAGGGTAATCGTGCCAAGCCCACCCACCACCACCTACCCGGTGTTGATGGGCTTCACCCGATAGCAAATTTTCACAAATTTCAAGAATTAAGTATCTTTTGTATGGCAACTCCATACAAAAGGTACATAAATAAGACAGTCATAACCTCAACTCTCTAAACGAGCAGACTAGTTTAAGAAAAATTAAACAGACAGGTTATTCAAATAAATCGGGCTTGACGGATCTACTACTATAATTGTCAGATGAACTGAAGGTTACGCAGGAAGAGATGTTAACCCGTAGGGAATTGATATTGTAGACTCTGGAGAGAAAGAAAGGAAGAGAGAGAAAACTAGCCACGGTCTAAACATGAGTCCTGTCAGGCAGGATCACATGCAGCCCCACGTGGTTGTCACGTGACCTCCAACAATAATTAATTTTAAATAGTTATATAGTTAGTTAGTTACATAGTATGGAAGTGTAGGAGACTTTTCAGAAATCACCATACATAAGAATTTGTATGTAAAAGATGAACCATTCTCTTACTCCATACATATATTACAAAATTTACTAGAATTGATACTAAGTAATTGAGGCCTTATTTACACTATGTATATCTTCCTATATTTTCCCTAACTATTTTGAGGGTTGAGAAAATTGGGGTTATGACTATATCGTGTTTATGTACCTTTTGTATGAAGTTGCCATACAAAGGATACTTAATTTGGAAATTTGTTATCCGCTGAAAATTTGCTATCGGGTGAAGCCCACCAACGCCGGTTAGGTGGTGGTGGGCCGTGCCACGATTATTTGTAGCTTTTTTGGTCATGATGGTAAATGTACCTTTTCCTGTACGGGCTGAATATCTGCCCTGAGTGCCCTAAATAGAGCGGCGAGCCGCCTATGCCCGAACCGTGGGCGTTGGGTGACCACCACCTTAGACATGCTGTTGTATGTTTTTTTGTTTTTTGTTCTATTTGTTTAACTGTCTTTTTTTCCCTTGTGGGCTTCCTCCATCTCGTACAGGATAAAAAAAAACTGAAGACGGTAAAATGCATCAACTGTGCAGAGAACTTTCCTATTTATATACAACCTTCGATCTAACAATCCCATATAACTTTATATTATCTTTATATATACTCAACAGCTAATCGGACGGAAAACACTAGACTTATAGAAACAAACCTCAAACCTTTCTCAAAAATACCAGCGCATCTCCGGCCCGAACGGTGTCGCCTGGTTGGACGAGTACTTTCTCAATCGTGAAAGACTCATCAATGCCATCTCTCTTGTCCCCATCGTAGGAGACGGAGATTTCCATCTTCATTGCCTCTAGTATGACAACAACTTGAGCAGAGCGGATAACACTACCATCTGCAAAGTTGACCTTCCACACGTTTGCATCGAGCGGAGCATACAATGTTAGAATGTCAGGGTCTGGTGATCTTCTGTCAGTATGCTAGAATGCTGAATCATTTGGGAAATTTGAAGCTGACCTTCCCTCAGGAGCGCAATTTCATCAACGGGAACGTGGTTTTGCGCTTTCTCGGCTATCCATCTGTCCATTGATTCCTTTTCCAGGGCTAACATTTTTACCTGTGCCGTAGCTTGGCGAGACTTAAATTCCGCTACTTCATCTCTAGTTTCCCCAAGTAGACGGTTGTGGTTGCTCATATCGAAAATGGCATCTTCGTACTGGAATTTGTAACAACCAGACCGGAAGCGCGCCATATCACGCTCAAGCTCTTCCTTTCCCACTCGATAGAAGGTAATCTGATCGAAGTCGCGGAACAGACCTGGCTGACTTGCCGAGAAGTCTGGTTTGACTCCCAATTGGTCGAAACATGGAATAGTTTGGCCTGTCATCTGGTACCCTCCAGGGGAATCAACGGGATAGATGCTGTTAAAAGTAGCATGTTAGTTTCGCCAACTTTAGTAGGATCTATGGATAAAGAAAGCTTACTTCATGCATGATCCACCCCAGCTGACACTACCTTCTGGGGTGTACACCCGGCTAGGGTTCTGTTTGGGGCATATCAAGCGATAGCGGGGATCAACTGGCAGACAAATGGTATCGCCACAGAAGAACCCGACACAAATCGCCATGAACTCGACCGAAAGGAAAATATCGATCAGTTCATCATACGTAACCCCATTTATATTAGCCACGAAGTCCATGTTATTGGGTAAGAATGGTGCATGTGGTCTTTGTGTCTCGATGTATCGCTGGACGGCTTCTTGTTGAGCCGGGCTTTCGAAGCAGATGGGAAGACGGAACTTTCGGCTTGGGACTTTTGAGCTGCTGAGATCTCCAACGGCTTTTTGCAACGATACCAAAAGGTTGACAAGGTTGTCTTGGGGGAGCTTCAGACCATCGTAGTGGATCAGGAGCGCTTTGGTTCATCGATCATTAGTCCAAGTTAAAAACAACACTGCGGAAGGAAGGAAACTCACAATTGCAGCATCCGGTGGTCTTGTAGATTGCCCGTCTCAAAGCTTCATCAGACGCTTGAGACTCCTTGAAAGCCCGGTCCAATGCTGTCACACTGCAGCGATGATTAAGATTAAATTTTCCATCGCCGAACTCGACCAACAAGAACTCATCCCCACCCTGCCAGCGGCAGTTAGAATTTGGTGATTATAGTAACCTGAAAGATCGCTTACCTGTCTAAATGTCATGGAAATCCCACCTTCAATCACTTCAGTTTGGTAAATCAACGCCTTTCCCCAGTTTCCAGAAACAGTCGACTCTCGTAACTTGGAAGGGAAGATTGGCTGGATGGAATCCATATTACACTGGCCGGCAACGAGTGCGGAAACACTTTCCGTAAACTGTTCCAATTCAGAACGAGCACGAAGAGCATCTTTCAATGATACTCTGCGGTATTGAATAGTGTCGCCAGATTTCAGTTGACCCATACACCATAGACTGGCTTTCACAATCGTCGTAGAGGAAATGAAGCCGCCAAGATCAGGGGCGTCAACGGGGAAGATGCAAGGACTGAAATGGTCAGCTGAGCTAGTAGGATTAATGTCAAGAAATTTGCCATCGGGACTTGCCTGTCTCCAGTCCAGTTCAATGTCCCGTTGGGGTATCCATATTCAATAACGTTGCTAGGGTGCTGCCCACCCTCGCCCCCATCTTCCCTTGCCCATCTAGGAGTAGGTCCCACAAGACGAATGCCACCTCTTGTGGCATTATGTGAGACATCCCTGGAGTCAAACAGTTAGAAGTGCCTTATAATACCTCCTTTACCTCCTTTCGTCTACTGGTTTAACATACCAGACTGTGTTATAGATCATGTCAATATCTTCAGATACAATATAGCCCTCATCGTATGGCCCAACCATAGCATCAATCTCCCAGTGGTTGGAGTATATGGGACGCAAATGGGCGGGCAATGAGACCTCGGGCTCTGCTCCATCTGCATTGAGCTTTGCAATGGCCAACATATCACCTGGAGCGAGCGGTCTTCCTTGATACCCACCAATCGCAAGTAGAGGCGATGTTGATTTTGACCCAAAGTATGGCGCACTGCATATAGTTAGCTCTGGAGTCGAGAAGAATGATTGATTTATAGCTCACATTGCCGGGAATCCCCCAAGAACAGCGAGATATGCTATCAGCAAGTTAGAAGACTAAACCAAGAATGGTAAATATAGCGAATGTCATACCTCGGCATCCTCCGGATCCATTCAGCTTTCCAATTGATAGCATTTGACCACGTTTGATATAGAGTCGTGTCCACATTGGAACGTCGGCCCCGTCAAGTGTCATGTCCATTGGAGCACCACAGACAGAGATGCATGCTGGAGCTAGGAAACGCAGTTCTGGTCCTTTCAATGTGATCTCTAGGCCTTCGGTGCCGGAATGATTCCCAACCAAAATGTTGGCAACTGCAAGCAGGATATATTGTTAGAACTCTACGCACGTATAAAAACACAAAGTTTACATGAGGGCCATACCTTGGAATGCCAAAGGGTCCTGGTATCTATATGTCAGCCGATGCATTAGTTATTTTAAGCCTCAGGGAGTCTAGCTCACCATTGGTCCTGCTTGCGGAATTCCACGCCCAGCAGTTGGACGTCCTGGATAGTCCTGTATTGTTGTATACAAACCTGGTGATATGACGTCGATGGCAGCCGGAGTGAACTCGAAATTGGTTAAAAAGTTGGTCAATGTATCCCCTGTGCGGAATTTATTGGAGTCAATGATGGCGTTTAAAAAGTCCAAATTTGTCGGTGGTCCACAGATTGTTGAGTGCGACAAAACATCACCCAATTTCTCAATAGCGGCTGTCCGGTTGGAATCATGTACCATGACCTTTGCGATCATAGGGTCTACGGTTGCCGAGTCAGCCTATGTCTTCATATGACATGAATGAGATAACAGACCGTAATATGTGGAAACTCGAGTCCCAGTAGCGACCCACGTGTCAATTCGAGTGCCGATCGTCTCTTTCCATTCAACATGTTGAAGCAATCCAGGGGATGGAGAGTAGTTTCGAGCAGGGTTCTCTGCATACACGCGAGCTTCAATCGCACAGCCTTCAGGCTTGTCTGGTTGCAAAGATTCCAGATAGTCCTTGTCCAGACCTCCGAGATTGCACAACTCCCGATCAGCTTGTTGAAGCATAAGCTTCACAATATCAAGGTTGTAACAGAGCTCGGTGATACCGTGCTCGACTTGCAGGCGAGTGTTCATTTCCAGAAAGAAGAAATCTCCCGATACGTCATCAACTAAGTATTCGACGGTGCCTGCAGATCCGTAGCAAATTGATTTGGTTAAAGCGACCGCCGCAGAGGTGAGCCTCTCACGGAGACCTGGGTGCTTTTCCACGAACGGGCTGGGGCACTCTTCGATAACCTTTTGATGACGGCGTTGAATTGAGCACTCTCGCTCTCCGATATGCATTGCATCTCCCAGACCATTACCAAAAACCTGTACCTCGATATGATGACTCTCTGGATAGTAACGCTCCATAAAGACGCCGGAATTCTTGAACAAAGTTTCTCCTCGGGAGCGGACTTGCGTCAAAGACTCTCTGACCTCTTCCACTGATTTGCATATCATCAGGCCCATACCACCACCGCCACCTGTGGCTTTTAGCATGACCTATAATAAATTATGGTTAGTAGGTCTTTTTAGCTGCGAAAAGTGACAGGGAGGAGTACAGGGTATCCTAATTCATTTGCCGCTTCCACTGCCTCATCTTCTGTGACGAGTAGTCCCTGCGTCCCGGGAACAATTGGGACACCTGCTGCCACAGCGATCTCACGAGCGCGATGTTTCAGCCCGAACGCTTCAATGGCTTCGGACCGAGGGCCTACAAAAACCATCCCGGCATTGGCGATAGCTTGAGCAAATTCCACATTCTCCGATAGGAATCCATAGCCTGGGATAATCGCATCGACTTGATTGGAACGAGCGATGTCGATGATGGAATTTCTATTGATTCATTATCGTTTCAGCTGCGGGTTCGTAGCGCAATCATTTTGGAAGTAACAGGGGACAAACCCGTTGATGTATGCGGTAGAATCGTCACCAGGTAGTAGGACAGCCTCATCTGCCGCCTGAATATGGGTTGAGGTTGCGTCGGCGGCTGTGTATATTGCGATCGTACGGATACCTAGCTCCCTATTGAAGACGAAGGGTTAGCTGTAGCTGCTTTTGACAATGGGCACTTTGCTTACTTGGCTGTTTTGATGATGCGAACGGCGATCTCACCGCGATTTGCGATCAGTAAAGTCTTCAATTTCTCCATTGCGACAGTATTGATGCCGACTTCTGGGAATTTCCAAGTAGATTTCCAAGTAGATATTAGTATATCCAATTCCATTCGGCCGAGGTCCACCCCCAGACAAGCTTATCGCAGTCTCCAAGTCTCCAACGTGAAACGCCAAGCGTTGGGGTAATTGACGTTCATCCGACTGGCTGGAAACCACCGGTTATCTCGGGGACTCCTTCATAAAGGAACCTGGATATCCCCGGATCGGATCATTTGGCTTATCTTTCGCCTTTAATGTCTTCTGCGAGAGAACACAAACGGGTGTACCAGGTATGTGGGCCTTGACCCCTCAACTCCCCGCATTTGGTAGCCGATCATTCCTGACGCTGTACCCAGGCTTGTGAGCCTTGCAGGGAGAAAAAAGTGCGTTGTGAGTTAGGATCGGCCGATTGTCCGAATAAACCACCTTGTGCGCGATGTCGGAGAGAGAGCAAACAATGTTTTTTTGCCGCATCGAGGATAAGAAAGACTGCTTCCACAAAGCGGAGAGCGGAATCACCTCTTGATCGAGAACCCAGACCGCAACACACGACTGGTGTTCCTGACTTCGCAGTGTCTCACGGCACTCTACCTCCTGCTGTAGAAGAAGAGAGCCAACCCTTCCCGGAAGATGGACGTGCTGCAGCTGCTTTGCTCGAGGGTCACCCCCGAACGTATCATGACGCATTGACATTGCTATCAGAGGCTTGTGAGCACAGTGAGGCTCGAAAGGAGTCAGCCGATGGCTCAACGTCGTCTAATCATCCCCAAGGTGCCAGGCCAAATCCCACTGGCACAGCTCTGGGGATTCATACAGACACCGCCACCAACAAAGGCACCGCTGAGGCTCTTCGCGCTTGGTCCAACGTCCGTTTTGTCCGCGGTGGACTTTTCACAGCAGAGGAAGCGCTAGACATGGTCGATCATTTTTACAACTTGCACTCAGCCTTCTCGCCCGTTGTACCGGAATACTTTCGCAGTCATTCCCAGCACGCGACGCTGATCGAGGAGGAGCCCGTATTGACTATCGCGATGTTGATGATTGGATCGCGTTACCGAAAGTGGACAGGACCGGCTGCGGTCGCACGTTCCTATATTGTTCATGATCGAATTTGGAGATATCTACAGGGAATGATTTCCCGATTGTTTTGGTCAGAGGACCTGTTCGTAGGTGAATTTGTTTCTCTAAAAGACCCTTTTCTTGGTGGGAGAGGCCCACGACCGACACATATGGACAGTTGGTCACATGGGTTCCGGACGTTAGGGACATGCGAGGCTTTGTTGCTGTTGTTGGATTGGCATCCTCGGGCTCTCCACTTTCCGCCCCCAGATGAGGATACGTCGTCAATCGTGCTCCCTGAGCCGAAGCGACCGCGCAAAAGTGCTAGTACAACTGGATATTACGGGCCCGGGTCCGGGCATGATTGGCTTGCTCGATCAGATCGCCTATGCCACTCTATGCTTTCCACAGTTTTGATGCTGGCAACCGAGATGGGGATTTTTTGTGATGATAATTCATTTGGTCAAGATGAAATCAGAAACGACCATCTGAAGATCACTCGTGACCAAGAGAGATTTCACCGTATACGGTGCTTGATATGGGTTTATGCGACGCTACAGCCAGGTCGACCAGGTAGACACCCCCTGGACAAACGCATCCTATGCCGGAATTTTGAAAGATTAAAACTAATAAATAGTTTTGAATACGGTAGGACGAAGAAATCCGGCGCAATGCACCCCCACAAAAAGCCCAGGCATAAGGAATGATGATGCAACAGAATGCTGGATGCGCGTCGCAACTATTATGCAGAATGCAAACGACCTTCTCTTTGTGTCACCCAAATATACGGGAGAAATTATTCGCAACGGACAATACCTTCGGATTGTTAGCGGCCTCGAGCCACTTCTAAACGAATCAATTGTCGAGTTCGATCATGCCAAGTGTATGTATCAACCCCGAAGCTTTGTGAATCAACCCTAATTTCAGTGTAGTGGCGAAACAAACGCGATATATCCTGAGCATTGAGTACGAGTATGCACAACTCTGTATTTTCGGCCTCGCTTTGCAAGCTGTAATCAGCCGAAATTGCCGCGATGACTCAAGTTCCAGACTAGAGAGACACTCACAAGGTACTCTACCGGAAGAGGATAAGTATCTAAGAGAAACTGTCAGGGCTTCCCGGACTATACTAAGAACGGTGCTCGCCGATCTACTTCCGCATGGAAGTTTAACGTATATTCCTGTACGATCATACTCCAGGATTCTCGGTTCGGCTTTGATTCTTCTCAAGGTAAGTGGCTCTCCTCCATCATCGTCATTTAGGCAATCCTTTCTCTGTTTCACTATCCTAAATCGTGGTATCAGTGCTGCGCGGCGGGAATTAGCGAGATCGACGTACCAATGTCCCTTGATCTGGTTCGGCGAGTCGCTGTTGGTCTTCGTAACTCCGCAGTGGATGATACACACTTGAGTACGCGCTGGGGCGATCTTCTCGAAAACCTCGCTGGTAGACTGCAGACGCGCTTATCCCAACCAACCATACCGAAAGCATCATCCACGAGACTCTCATCGCTAGCAACTCTGTCAAAAGACCAAGCAGACGCCTCTCATGCCCCTCAAGTAACACACCCATCGACAGTACAATCCTCCCCTCAAAATATACAGGCTCGAGCTAATCTTGAACCCAACAATAATATATTGGATCTCAACCAGTCCAATTCGCTTGATGCTAAATATGACACGCAGTTCGATGCGTGCTCAGCATGGTGGGATGATCAATTTTCTCAGGTCAATCTCAATTGCATGCCTTGGTTTCCAACTTTGGGGCTTGTGGGTGGAAGTGGAAGTGATCCCCTGCTTTCAAACGATTTCGCCGATGGTATTTTTGAAAGTGTTGGGCCAACTCATTGAGCCTTGATTTCGCATTGCTAGGAAACAGGGATAGCTACTTGTATATAGCTAAGATGTAATTTGGTTCTATCGTACCATAATAGGCCCCTCATGCTTTTGATTAACTTACCTTTGCCCACTCCTAAGATTTTAAAATGCCAATTAAAAAGGTGTGTTTAGTCGCAGGCAAATATTGTATGACGTCTTATTCGATCGTATATTTTGTCGATCCTTGACTTAAAAACAAATCGAAGGTCTTGGGTTAATTTAGTTCGGATAATACAGGAAAGCGGTTTGATTCCGAGCCGAGTCTCCAAAAGGTGGACCTACGGATCAACGAGCACAAGCTAAGCAACATCCGAACTGACTCGATTTATGTCTTTTTTCTTTTTATTCTTCATCTTTTCCTCCTTCCTAAACCCAACCCGAATTACAAAAATTACAAAAATTGAAGGACTTGAGAGAAATCCTTTCAAAGATCCCACTCTCATATTTCCAATATCACCCACCAATAGAGCACCACTTTCCAGCTGCAGTTATGGGACCTATAAAGCACAAAGCCCTGATCAACGTCGATCTCGGAGAGGGGTTTGGAAATTGGACAATCACTTCAGATGAAGACTTGCTTCCATTCATTGACCACGCCAATATTGCTTGTGGATTTCATGCCTCGTATGTCCTTTCCTTCTTCTGTCCGACGCCTAAATTGTGCCTGCCAGTCGGTTGGAAATATGACGGAAATGACAACTCACACATCTTTCTATTGGTAGTGACCCCCTCATAATGATGGAAACCGTCCGCAGCTGCAAGGAGCACGGTGTGAAAATTGGAGCACACCCCGGCCTGCCAGATCTCCAGGGCTTTGGCCGTCGTGAAATGAAACTTTCCACGGACGAACTTACTGCAATTACTATTTACCAGGTTGGAGCACTCAAGGGGTTCTTAGACCAGGAGGGAGTACCCCTTCACCACGTCAAGCCCCACGGGATGCTCTATGGTATGTGCTGCAGAGACTACGAGACTTCCAAGGCCGTCTTCAAAGGCATCCCCAAGGGTGTCAAGGTGTTCGGGCTTCCAGGTACTTGTATGGAACAAGCCGCCAGAGATTTAGGACTGGAGTTCGTCGCAGAGCTTTATGCGGATGTCAAGTACAATGCCGATGCTTCTCTCCTGATCGAGCGCAAAAAGAAGTAAGTCATTCATTTTTGTCTTCTGGTTCTTCTTATTATGTGCTAATTCTGTCTTGCTTTCATTGTTGCAGGGCTTGGGATCTTGCCGAGGTCCGAAGACGCGTAACACAGCAGATGGAAACATGCACTGCTCCTGCAATCGATGGATCGACCTGTGGACTACCCGTCAAGGATTATCCCATTTCCATATGCTGCCATTCCGACGTTCCCGGGTGCTTGGAGTTGGTGAAGGAGACAAGAGTCGCTGTCGACACGTTTAACAAGGCTTACTTCCCCAACAAGTAAAGGATATATACAGAAATGAACTTTATTTTACGGTTACTGAGTTGAAAAGACTATTGTGCTGAGATCAACGTCTTTCTACAAATGTATCATTCTGTTCATCCTTTTCCGTTGATAAGCCAACTGGTGTAAATAATTGGAGAATGGTTGTTGAGAACCCCAACTACTCCAACTAAAGTGACCCCAAATAGCTCACAATGGATGCTGATTGGCTATAGGTCGGATACCGATCGACGTCATTTGGAGTCGAATCGAAAATGGAGAATCCGACTGGATACGCTCTCTCAACTTCCTATCTCGACATTTGAACTCGACTCCAATCAGTAGCCAACTCTACACTCGTCGACCACTGAGACCCATATTTAGAGTGATAACGTTAAATGGAAAAGGGAGTGGATCGGCCATACGGTGCGGGGGTATCACTTGGCGGCTTTCCCTTTCAGTAATACAATCAGTTGGGTTTCAACAAAAGCCACCATCGGTTAGTGTTAGTTCATTTTAATCCTCGTTCTCCAGCCGTGTATGATAAGGCATTTCCGAAAACCTGTGTACTAGTTAATTGAATGCTGTATCTTATAGAGTTGGAGAAGTCAGATAAGACAAACCTATTAAAAGCGACCATTTCTTGTTTTTATATTTGAACTCGAGTTTATACCCCAATCGAAACAAAGTACCGCAGAAATATACATACCCAGTACCCCTAGAGAGCTGAGTAGTCTTGAGTGAAGCAAAGATGGACGATGCTCTTCCCATTCCCGGAACGGTCCAGCAGGTGGATGTAGACCACACCCTGCGCCTGAGACACAATAAAGAGCAACAGGATATCGTCCTGATCCCTCTCCCAAGCTCTCACCCTGATGACCCTCTCAATTGGTCCCGATGCCGGAAATTCCTGAGCAGCACCTGCCAAATGGCCTGGTGCTTCTTCGCCGCCGCTCTCATCAGTGGTCTGTCATCCTCCTATCTCCTGATCTCGGAAGACACAGGTATCTCTGTGGCAGATCTCAGCACGGGGAATGGCCTCCTCTATCTCTTCATGGGATGGGGCACCTTGTTGACTCAGAACCTTGCGCAGGACTTTGGTCGTCGCCCGGTCCTGTTGGTTGGAATGCTGGGCTCATCGCTGTTGCAGATCTGGTCTACGTATATGAAGTCCGTGGGTGAATGGTACGCCAATCGAATTCTTCTTGGAATTTTTATTTCACCTCAGGAAGCGCTGATCGAGCTCTGCATTGCGGATATCCACTTTGCCCACGATCGAGGCTTCCACATGGGTATTTATAACTGGACCTTGTGGTGCGGTGCGTTTATGTCACCTATCGCCGGTGGCTTTGTTGCTGAAAGGTTCGGTTGGAGATGGATACAATACATCCTGGCCATTATTTGTCTTTGCTTTACGGTTATAACGTTCTTCGGCTTTGAAGAGACGATGTTCTTCCGCCAAGTTAATATTCAAGAACCGATGTTTCCTTCCCCCAAAGATACCGGGGATCTAGAGCCCTCCATTGATACTGATCTCAAAAGGGTCTCCGAATCCAAAGAGTCAGAGAATCCCGGTATTACCCCTGTCGTTGTGGAAGAGATTTACCAGATTAAAACATACACCCAGAAGTTGAAGATGTGGGGATTAAGACACCCTTCTCAGCCCTTCAACTTCTTCCGATCAATCCTTCTTTCCTTTCGTCTTCTATTCTTCCCCACGAATATCTTTTCCGGTCTTCTCGTGGGAAGTATTCTCGCCTGGTACAATGTTCTGGGAGGATCCTTAGCGGAAGTTCTAGGCGGTACCCCCTACAGTTTCACCACGGAACAGATCGGTCTTACCTACTTCGCCAGTGTGATAGGAGTGTCGATTGGATGCTACTTCAGCGGCTGGCTCAGTGACATCCTTGCAATCAAGCTAGCCAGAAGAAGAAACGGTATCAAGGAGCCCGAAGACCGTCTCTGGATGTTCTTGATTGCCCTCGTCGCTCATCCTCTCGGATGCATTCTTTATGGTGTCGGGGCAAGCCATCACATTCCATGGATTGGAGTCGTCATCGGAATGGCCTTCATTTGCATCACCCTACCGATGGGATCTGGCCTAGCCATTACCTACATTATTGACAGTCAAAAAGAGCTGGCTGGAGAGTCAATTGTGACTGTTATTTTGATCCGTAACACAATTGGTGAGTTGGAATATCTTGCGAGGATCAATCAATATTTTTTTAGTTATCTGACAATACTATCCTAGGTTTTGCTTTTGCATACGCGGTCAATCCCATGATCACGAACATGGGGCTGCAGAATACTTTTATTCTGATAGCAGTGTTGGGAATGGTTTTCTGGAGTGGTTGTTTGCTATGGATCAAAATTGGAAAGTCGGCTCGGAGATCCATTGCTAAATCCTACTGGAATCTAGTTGAGACTCATGGACTTGCTGCCCACTAAGCTTATTGTGTTTCGGTACTTCGGCATGCCGATCTCGGGATCTGACCGAGCTCGGGACACTCAAAGCTTGTTTTATGTGAGATGTCATTTTTCACACGTTGCTTACTGGAAAAGTAATACTTCCAAATGGAAACATGAGATTTGGTTGTCTATATGTTTAACTGATGTTCGTAAGTGGCCGACCCAACGGTCTCTATATCCACGCACAAATCCACTCCTCAAACTCGTATTCATCGTTCATGCCTTACCCGCGCTAAGCCTTCGCGCACGGCCTCCTGGATAACGCCCTCTTGAACAAAGGCCTTGGCGATACTCACACTTAACCGGGATAATTGACCAAACCCCGAGAAAGGTGGCTAAGTTGGGTCTTAGAAGGGGGAGACTCGGCTGTTAGTGCATATTTGAGGCATCAACCATCACCTCAGGCAGCCGGGACTGCTAAACATAGCTGTGCCAGGACAAGGGAAGGCATTTTCATGGATGTTGCCAAGGGCTGAGTTACATGGTTTTAGACCAATTTTAGAAGATCTTGGACTTAATTCCAGTCATTAGATAATCCCGAGTTCTCCTTGTGATGTCTTTTTGATAGTCCTTTTAGATATATACGGTGGTAAGAAATATCTTTATATAAGAGTCTTTCTATATATAACTAGGAGTATCAATCAATTGCACACACATATATATATACACCAATCATGCATAAGAGGCCAAGGAAGGGTATTGTATTTGGCGTGTGGCTTATGTACAGCCATTAGTCGGGCGCTACTATAGCGTCGCACGTCTAGACTGAGCCGGAAGATCCGCACTGACCTTTCGATAAAAAAGCAAATAAAAAATAAAGACACTAGCTAGCTTGGCATCTGCAACAACAGTCTGGAAGGGTCGAGCAAAAGCCTCGGGCTAATTAAAGCCAATCCGTGCGTGACCACCAACGACTATTTCTTAAGAGTCTGGGTTTGAGAAACCTAACCAACTTCACATAGTAGATTCCTATGTTAGGTGCCTCTGTACCTGTGTACCTGTTTCCAGAGCCCCAGGGCAAAAATCAGGCGAAAAAACTAATAGGCGGGGCATTGATGGTGCGGCGCCAGCCGAGGTTTGCACATCACATTCCCGATGAACTCCGCCCCCCAAAATTGGAGGCAGCCAATCTCCACCGTTCTATCAAAGCGTCGTAATACGGACCAGGATCAAACATGGATGTCGCTCCTTCCAACCGAAGGTAGAAACAATGCCTGATTCCCACAGTTCGACAATCCACAATGTTAGCAGTCGGCCAGCATCTGCACTTTCCAGTCATAATAATTATATAGGTTTTGAGAACTAAAGCCGGACCCAGTTACAACAGGCTTCCCCTGCGAGGCTGAGCACACTTGATTTTGATAATGAACAATATGCGTCTTTTTCCTGGATTTTAAGTTACATAGTGACAGGTTGATAAATACCTCATTCGTATTCCGTACATTATATACTTGGGTCGCTGCCATATGTTGTTGAAATACCTGGCATACGCTACGGTTCTTCGGACTACCCTGATAAACCCAACCTTGTAACTGAGCTATTTTGAAATTGCGAAGGCAATACCGCAGGACATTTTTATTCAGATAGTCAAGGCCGAAGACACCAAATCGAGAGTTTCACTGTGGTTTTCAAATTACTTCTCACTCAGAAATTCGAGCACCAAGTGGATAAGATACCAGCAGATCACGGACTAATCCGACTACCGCGAATATGGATGTTGATAGAGTCTTGGGGTTCTAGAGAAAATGCCTTGGAGCTGTACAAAAGAGGGATATCAAATATAAACAAATTATCACTGACGAGCATTCTTCAAAAGAAGCTCAGTTCCTTCCGGCCAGCCAGAAGAATTCGCCATATCCAAAACCGTCGTACCAGTCTCATCTTTCTGAGAAACATCAACCAGACCACCCTTCTCAATCAAAAGCTGCAACAACCGAAGATCGCGGTCCTCAATGGCCTGCATAATCGCATTCCAGTCACGGTAACATGTATTAGGATCAGCGCCCCTTTCCAGAAGCAACTCAATCATAGCAAAGTTACCATCGTCACATCTCCGGATCGCCTTAACGAGTGGCAAATGCTCACCAGGGGCATTGGGGTCCGCACCAGCCTCGTCCAGAAGATAGCGCACAATAACCCAGTGACACTCGCGCAGAGCTGTTGTCAGTGGTGAGAACACACCGCCGTTTTTCCACTCTACGCTGGCGCCAGCTGCGATGAGTAGTTTGACGTTTTCTAGTTGGTTGGCCTGCACTGCTTTCTCCATAACACCCTTGTGTGCCGAAAGATCGGTTATACCGGGCAAAATAAGCCGTAGCATGCTCGTCGATTGAGTCGCCATGTATATTGGCCAGTCCTTGCCGCGTAGGTTGGGATCGGCTCCGTTTGCCAATAGCCATTCTAGCATTTCTGGACGGTTCTTCCGGATCGCAGTGGTCACGGCTGTGTGGCCTTGCTCAGTACGGTCGTTTGGATTGACGCCTCCTTGGCCCACGAGCCATTGTAGAGCCTCCATATAGTTTTCCTGTACGGCGCACTCGACAATACCTGGTGGTTTGCGGAGATCTGCGCCGGCGGCCACCAAGTCCGGGAGGAAATGAAGACGTTTATGCGTGATACACTTCCAGGCTGGGTACTCAGATGCCATCACATTCGGGTCAGCACCGTGATGGAGAAGCAAGGTGAGGATATCGGGTCGGTCATCGCGGATGGCGGAGCAGAGTGGTGTGTATATTCCATCTTTCTTGGAATTCGGGTCCATACCCGCCTGCAGCAGGACGCGCACGGAATCGATATTATTAACACCTGTCGCTTGCTCCATAAGACCAGGGGTCTTTTTTACATCGGCACCCCGCGCGAGCAGGATGCGCAAGCAGCCTGGGCGGTGGACAGCGGACCAGAGGACGTGCTCGGGTCCGGGCAAGTTCGGATTCGCGTCTTTGTTTAATAAGACTGTCACTATAGATGGTTGGTCACTTTGCACAGCTTCGCATAGTGCGGTCTTGCCGTGGTCGTCTTTGCGATTGGGGTCGGAACCGGAATTAAGCAAGGTTTCGATAGCTTGCAGCGGTGCGCGTTTGTGAATCGCGTCGATGAGTAATGTTGTGCCATCGCGCGTCTCCTCTTTCAGATTTACGCCGTGCGCCAGTAGAGTCTCCGTTAGCTTGATGCTGGCGGCATCGTGACCCGAATGACTGAGGCTGATCTCCTCAGCAGAAGCTGTTGGGTTAGGTTTGGCCAGCCGGTGCGTAAGTTCCCGCTGATCAAAATACGGAGTTTTCGCGGTCTCACGAGGCTGGGGACTCAGGAAACCGTTCAAGGACAGAACGGAGGACATGTCATCCGTGATAATTTCGGCTTCTTGGCGAGTGCCTTGGTTGAGTCGGGAGGCGGTAAATGATTCTTTCGGTGGCACAGATGGCGTCGACCGCATTGAATCAGGGGACTGATGCTGACTCGATGAGGATCGCTCAGGTTCGATAGACTTGGCCTTGTTTATGCCCATCACAGAGCGGCCTTTAGATACGCGATCGAGCGCGGCCGCTAGGCCAGCGTATCCGATACCCACGGACTCTTCCGGGTGGGCGTCTCCGAGCGACCAGTGAAAGGCCATACCACTAATTTGGAGAGTTTCGGTGGTCTTCTTCAGCGACTCATGAATGCGATTGAGGTCATGGCCTGGCCGATTCCATCCTCGCTGAAGCTTTCCCAGTGCCCCGCGATGTTCGTATTGAACAAGCTTCAAAATGATCTTGTCAAGTTGTTGGAAGTCCCGGTAGGTGGAGACGAATTTCTTCTCCACCTCTTCAATTATAACATCAGGTAGGGCGCGATTGGCGCCGGCTAGTTCGGTCACTCCAGCTTCAATAGCCCATAACATGCGACAAGTGTCGAGGAAGGTATGGGAAAGTTCGCGAAATCCGTCGGGGAGGTCATTGGTTGTGCTGAGGTAATTTAGCATGTGCACAGAGATCTGGTTGCCTAATTGCGTGGCAAGAGCCGAGACGCTGCGGATGGTTTCCTCTGGCTTTGCCGGCATGGTTGCAGTGAGATGTTCACCTAGATAGAGAGAAGGAGATACATAAAGGAGTCAACCTTGGAAAAAATGAGAGTGGAGATTTCCCAGATAAACATGGGGGGCAATCTGGGCCGGCCAAGTTTGGGGCCAAATCCTCCATCTATACAGTGGGGCCACATTACCCAAGTAACCTTCCAAGGTTGGAACCTTCGTACTTTCAATCTCTCGATCTAGGGGGGTGGTACCATGGCTTTGTCTCCATTAGTGCATGTGAGACCCATGGTTCAACTGGATCAGCTGCCTGAGGCTTTGCCCACACTTGAAATAGTTTCACACATTAGAAAACAGAAAATAAAGAAAGTTGTCCAATATCTCCTCTCCGTAGGTGGACTGAAAAGGGGACTACCGCTTGGCCTCGGTGCGATAATGGAATGTGGGTCCAGACTCCAGATAGTCACATAGATGACTACATGTAGGTGATCGCTGAAGTTGAAACACAAACATGTACAAATCGGAATAACGGTGCATTCAACCCAACTTTAAATATTTACAGTTGCCTGGACACGTGGGATAAATGTCATCCTTTGGGATCAATTGAACGTATCTCCCCCATTCCACTCCTACGCAGCCATGTCAATATCCCGCCCATGAAACATTTTTGGGTTTGGAGCTCTCCTGCGCCCCGCTTAGCTTCCCATTGACTTTTCTCGATTTTTTGAAGCCTTAATAAGTGACTAAAACGTCTCACCATTGTTCCTACAACATAATTGTCCCCTAATTGTTCCGTCCCTCCTCCGTAGATGACCCTAATTGGCCCACCCCCACAGAGGAGATAGTTTCAAATCGGATTTGAATCTTCTCAATCTAGCTTCGTCCCAGAGCTTAAGGTATATATTTCACAGTCGGATTCTGAATTTGTTCGTTTCACAAGTATATATCGCATTATCAAGTTTGGTGTTCT